CCGCAGGAAACCCCGCCCCGGCTGCCGGCCAAACCCCGACAGGTGGGGTTTGCTTAGCTTCTGAGCCAGGGTCGTGCTTGGCGGTCAGGATGGCCTGACCCATGGTCCTCCTGCCTCGGTCTCCTGAGTGCGGGTGACAGGCGTGCGGCACTGCGCTGAGCAGATGGGGTTTGCAGGGCAGCCCTGGGGATAGGCGGGATTTTAGTGAGTTGAAGACCCCCAAACCCAGACCTGGAGTCTAAGCCTTCTCAAGGACAGGACAGTTCACAAAATGGAAATGCTGCAGTCGACGCTTCAGGCAGTGTGACCCAGGACTCCCTCTCCCTGTCTACTCCACGCTCCCTCCTCTCTCAGTCGGTCTGTCTGTCTGTCTCTCTCACACATTTTCCCTCTCTCTTTCCCTCCTTCTTGGGGACAGACTCATGTACTTGCTCTGTGTCCCTGACATAGAGACTGGGGGGAGGGGGGCACCGAGGGTGGAAGGGAAAATTTGCAGGGTGCCTTGCAGAAGATGGGAAAGAGGCTCTATGGCTACCATGGTTGCTAAATCTGAGTGGGTGACTGCCCCATGCCAACCGTGTCCAGGTGCCTGGGCAGGCTTCAAGTCGAATTCAGCGGCTTACCTGCTCTGTGACTTTCTTGTTATTGTCGGCCTCAGTTTGTCCATCTGTAAAATGGCACATGCAGCCATACAAAAGGCCACCCAAGCGGGGAATTACAGGATTAAACAAACGAACAAACCCTGGGCTGCTGGTGCAACCCTTCAATCCCTGCAAAACAAAACAGAAACAGGCAGATCTCTGTGAGTTCAAGGCTAACCTGGTCTACATAGTAAGACCTTATGTAAAGGAAAGAAAAAAACAAAACGGGGAGGGATTAAAAGAACTTGAGGGTACCCAGGAGTTGGAGGTGACACCCTCAGTCTGGGAGGCAGTGGGCTTTGCGTGCGGCCCCGCCCCCAGCGCAGGGCGCCCAAGGACCACGAGACTGCCTGGGGAAAGAGAGGCTCTAGCAGCAACGCGGTGCGGCCGTCCACCCCGTCCACCCCGTCCCCACCGTCCCCACCGTCCCCACCCCCGACCCCTTCCGCGGGCCCCGCCCACCTCCGAGCCCTGCTTCTGATCGGGCGCTTCCCGGTGCCCCCCCCCCCCCCCCCCCGCAGGTAGTGCAGTACATCGGGGAGATCTGCCGCTACCTGCTGAGGCAGCCGGTTCGCGACGTGGAGCGGCGGCACCGAGTGCGCCTGGCCGTGGGTAACGGGCTGCGGCCCGCCATCTGGGAGGAGTTCACGCAGCGCTTCGGCGTGCGGCAGATCGGCGAGTTCTACGGCGCCACCGAGTGCAACTGCAGCATCGCCAACATGGACGGCAAGGTTCGCCGCCGCCGTGGGGCGCGGGCCGGCGCCGCGGGGCTCCGTGGGCCCGGGGCGGCCCGGGCGTGGGCTGCAGTGCCGCCGCCGCCGCTCACCGCCGTCTCCACCCCAGGTCGGCTCCTGCGGCTTCAACAGCCGCATCCTCACGCACGTGTACCCCATCCGCCTGGTCAAGGTGAATGAGGACACGATGGAGCCGCTCAGAGACGCCCAGGGCCTATGCATCCCGTGCCAGCCTGGTGAGCGTGGCCCCCGCCCCGTGCCTCGGGGAGCCGGGGTCCCCACGGCTCCCACCCCACTCAGCCCGAGTCGCCCCTTCCAGGGGAGCCCGGACTTCTCGTGGGTCAGATCAACCAGCAGGACCCTCTGCGACGCTTCGATGGCTACGTTAGCGACAGCGCCACCAGCAAGAAGATCGCCCACAGCGTGTTCCGCAAGGGCGACAGTGCCTACCTCTCAGGTGCGGAGCCGCGTGGCCGGGCTGGCTGGCTGGCGGTGACGCCCGGTCCCACCTTCCCCTCTCCCCTTTAGGTGATGTGCTGGTGATGGACGAGCTGGGCTACATGTATTTCCGCGACCGCAGCGGGGACACCTTCCGCTGGCGCGGGGAGAATGTGTCCACCACGGAGGTGGAAGCCGTGCTGAGCCGCCTACTGGGCCAGACGGACGTGGCCGTGTACGGGGTGGCCGTGCCAGGCAAGCTGGGGACACGGGGTGGTTGTGGGGTGCAGGAGCCCACCCAGAAGGGACCTGCAGGGTCGTACACAACCTGGAGAAGCAGTTGCTGACTTGGTGGGACACTGGATTGGGAGTCCATTCACGTTTCTAAGGTTGAGCCTCAGTTTGGGGCACTCTTAGGATCAGAAGGAGAGAACGGGCCCCTTTATAAACTGGATACTGCCAGGACCAATGTTATCCCGGTTGGGAGGTCACAGAGTAGAGACCAGGACTTTGTGTGGGTGGGCGGTGTTCTCAGCTGAGCCTCCTTCTGCAGGAGTGGAGGGCAGAGCCGGCATGGCGGCCATTGCGGATCCCCACAGCCAGTTGGACCCTAACTCCATGTACCAGGAATTGCAGAAGGTTCTGGCCTCCTATGCCCGGCCCATCTTCCTGCGTCTTCTGCCCCAGATGGACACCACAGGTACAGCCTGTCTGGGGAGCCATTTACTTTGTCCTAATTTAGATTCCTAGTCCCCAGTGTGAATGGAGGTCCACAGCCACATGCCCTGGGGCGTTTCTTGTTTTCTTGATGGATTTACCCGCTGTCTGGTCATTCCCACTCCATTACGGGCCCTCAGTTGGGATCCTTGTTTCAACTTCCGCATTGTGAGAACTAGGAAGCCGGAGGGGATGTGGGGCTCCGGAATTGTCTCGTCTTTTGCCCTTCTGTGCCAGCTGGACAGCACTAATTCTTCTTCTACACTTTGTCTGTGGTGCTGAGGACTAACCCAGGACCCCACGCATGCTCCACCACTGACCACATGCCCAGTTCTTAAGTCATTTTTGAGACAGCCCAGGCTGTTCTTAAACTTGCTGTTCTCACCGGGTGGTGGCACACGCCTTTGATCCCAACACTGGGGAGGCAGAGACAGGCGGATCTCTGTGAGTTCGAGGCCAGCCTGGTCTACAGAGCGAGTTCCAGGACAGGAACCAGAACTACACAGAGAAACCCTGTCTCGAAAAACAAACAAACCAACAAACACACAAACTTCTGTTCTCTGACCTCAGCCTCTCAGGTTCTAGGATGGCAGATGTGTGCTATCACCACAAGCATTGTGTGGTGCTGGGATAGAGCTCAGGGCTTCTCCATGCTAGGCGAGCGCCCTCCGGCTGAGCTGTCAGACTGGGAGAACTGAGTCCCAGCCCTGAGGTGCGCCATTTCTTAATAGACAAGAGAATCTGTTTTCAGATGGGAGGTTGCTCCTTCACATACTCCCAATACTCAGGAGGCTGAGGCTGGATAATCACCCTGAGTTTGAGGCCAGCATGGACTTCAGTGAGACCCTGTTCCAAAAAACAACAACAAACACCCATGATACTGCTTTTGGACTTTGGGGGACTTCAGATATCACGAATCAGCTCTGACACAAGAGTGTGAAGTATGGGTCTCCAGCGGTCTGGACCAGACTTCATTAGCAAGCACAGCTGGGGCCACAGCAGGCCTGCCTCTTGCCTGAGCTAACACACTCCTCCTGTCTCGAGAAGTGAAGGGTGTGAAGCCGTGGAGGTGTCCAGTGGGCAGAGGTCAGGGAGAGTGTCTGCCGCTGAAGGGAGCCCTGTGCAGAGAGCTGCTTCTGGGTACCCACCTCTCCTCTCCTCCCGCCCCCCAGGCACCTTCAAGATCCAGAAGACCCGGCTGCAACGCGAAGGCTTCGACCCACGCCAGACCTCAGACCAGCTCTTCTTCCTGGACATGAAACAGGGCCGCTACCTGCCCCTGGACGAGGCAGTCCACGCCCGCATCTGTGCCGGGGACTTCTCGCTCTGATGAACCTGGCGCATGATATGGGCCTGGACTCCTGAGCCCTGGGCACCTGACACCCCTGCTCAGGTGCCTCTCCTGCCTGGCCGCCTGGCCAGCAGCACTGGTGGGCGTGAGAAACTGGAGCCTGAGGGCCAGGTGTCTCCCTCCTACATCTCACTGCATCCATCCAGCTCTGCCTCTCTCTTTTTCTCCATCTCTTTTCTCCCGACCCTCCAGGAGCCCCACAAACACAGCTTGGCTACTGGGTCCTGCGCTGGGACCGGTGTCCAGGGGTCCAGGCTGTGGCGCCCACCTCCATCACCATTGTGCCTTAGTGACCTGTGCTCGGCTGCCCGGCTGCCCTCCCTGCTGAGGGTCTTACCCACTCTGATGTTAGCTGGGTGACATCAGCAGTCCCCACTGACCCCCAGTCAACTGGAAGGTTTATATTTTTGTTTTGAGACAGTGTCTCACTGTAGAGGCCAGGCTGGCCTCAAACCCGCCATCCTACTGCCTCCGCCTGTTAGGGAGTGCACTGCCCTGCAGTCCCAGACAAATGACATTCATGCACTATTGCCCTTGGGCCCCCACTTTCCCCTCAGACCCTGGAAGCTTCCGGAACTGACCGACCACTTGGACGTGGCTAATGGTGGCCCCGCCCACATGTGTCTGTTGAGGGGTCACCAGGCACCCCGTCTCGGGGCCCTGACCCTAGCAAAGCTTGGGTGTCTCATTGCTCAGCTGGAGGGACCCAAGAAGGCTGCTGTGGTGTTCCCTTTGGGGGCCCTGGTGACAGCCCCGGAAGCACCTCCCTAGACCCGACCCTGTGGCTTGTGACGCTTGAGGTCTGCCCTGCTGGCTCCCGTGCTCCCCACTGGGTCATTGGTGACTCAGCTCAGTCACCGAGTCCGGCGTCTGCCCTCTTCATCTTCAGGGGCCCAGCCCCAGGAAGGGTGTGAAGAGCACAGCATCCATCCACAGGCTGCCGCAGTCCTCCACACACAAATGTACTTCCTGTTGGTGTTAAGAAATAAACGTGCTGAGCCTTGACACTTGCCGGAGCAGTGCCTCTGGTCTGTCTTGAGGCCTCGGTGCGAATTTCTGCACCACACCTGAGCAAGCTGCAACAGGCCACCCACGGTCTCTGTCCTAGTTAGGGCTACTGTGGTGAAACGGAAGCAGCGTGGGGAGGGAACACCTGAATCAGTCCATTGAGGGGTCCATGGCAGGAACTTCAACGGAGCACAAACTTGGAAGCAGGAGCTGATGCAGAGGCCATGGAGGGGTGCTGCCTACTGGCTTGCTCCCCATAGTTTGTATTCTCTGAGCTGGCCATGAGCCTGCTTTCTTAAAGAATCCAAGACCACCTGCCCAGGGGATGGCACCTCCCACAGCGAGCTGTCCCATCAATTATCCATCAAGAAAATGCTTCATAGTCTTGCCAATCTCTGGGGGCATTTTCTCAATTGAGCCCCCCCCACACACACAAATGACTGTGGCTTGTGTCAAGTTGACAAAAACTAGCCAACACAATCCTGCCTCTGGAAAATTAGAAAAAGCAGGGCATGGTGGTGCATGCCATTAATCCCAGCAGTCTAAAGGCAGAGAATGGTGGATCTCTGAGTTAGAGGCCAGCCTGGTCTACAGAGTGAGTTCCAGAACAGCCAGGGCTGTTACGCAGAGAGACCCTCTCTCAAAAAAACAAAACAAAACAAGAGCATCATGACTTTGATGGCCTGGTTCTTTGGCTGGAATTGTACAAAAAGCAAAGGTTTATGTAGCTCAGTTTTAGAGATTGGAAGTCCAAATACCATTACCATATTTTAATTAGTTCCCAGATGCCCCATCTTTAAACACTGTAATGGGACTAACTTTTCGCTGTGTGTGCATGAGTTACAGAGCCCATGTGGAGGTCAGGGGACAATGTTGATTCTCTCCTTCCCCTGTGTGGCTCCTGAGGATGGAACTTAGGTGGCCAGGCTTAGTGATAAGCATGTTTACTGGCTGAGGCATCTGGAAGACACCATCTCTACCTTCTTTTATTTTTGCCTTTGCATAACAGTATTCAAGGCTTTGTGAGTTAAACTTTGTGAATTAGGGGAAGCCATGACAGCAACAGGACCCTGGCCTCCAGGCCAGCCTCTACAGACCCAGGGAGCTCCAGGCAGGGGCACCAAGCAGGCTTCAGCTTGCTTCCCTCCAGCCTCCAAGGATGCCCCAGTCCCTGCCTGGACTTTGGTGCCCCAGGGCAGGATGATGCATCTGCCTGTGGGTACTAACAAGTCCCCAAGTGGTGGAGGGCCTGGCATGCAGGCCAAGTGGCCTGCTGACAATGATCCCAGCCCTGGAATGTGTGCTGTCCCCACTCTACACCTGACAAGGCAGCAGTGAGTTGACACCAAGCCCAAGGATGTGTTTGTTATCTCGATGCATGACACTGGACCTGTGTTCTAGAAGGAACAGCCAGTTCCAGCCAGCCAGGCTGCACAGTGCCAGTTCCAGCCAGCCAGGCTGCACAGGGAGATGCTTTCTCAAAAGAAAACAATTTAAAAAGGGCTAGCCAGCTGGGAGCAAAGACACCTGTCACCACAGCCCCTGGGAGACTGAGACATTGGGATGCTGAGTCCCAGGTCAGCCCTGGCCCCACAGTAACATCCCACTTCAAAGCAGCCAGAAGAAAACATGAACACCAATAATTTTTTGAAGCCTCAATTTTAAATTTAAAAAAATGCTAATTGCTCTTCCCACCCCAGAGTGGTGTCCATTATTAACTCTCATGAAGGGGACAGCCATAGCTGTCCACGTTATTTTCGCTATGGCTTCTTGGGCTCGCGATCGTCTCTTCTTCCCCCCTTTGCTTTTATGTCTCCCAGGACATTTTGATTGTTCCCCAACTTTACACTTGAGCAAGTTGATTTCCATATCCTCAAAACAACCTGACTGGGCCTCCAAAGGGACAGTGCCAGTTCAAGGAACATCACAGTTTGCTGATTTTTCCAAACAAGTTTTGTATAGGCTTTGTACCCTTGGGAAACTCTCAGACAAGATCCGCATGGAGGGCAACAAGAGAAACAAAAGATGAATTAAGGCTAGGTGCGGCCCTCTGGAGCCAGGCCGGGTGTAACTCAGTGGGAATTCTCCTACCACGTGGGTTTGGGGCTGGGGAACAGCCAAGTGACTCAGCCTGGGCTCAGCACACACAAGGCCCAGGACTGAGTCCCAGCACAAGTGACCGAGTGCTTGGATTTTGGAGCTTTCCCGAGTTCAGCAGGGTCAGGCTCACAGTATCAGTCACTCATCTGGCTGCTATGACTCAGTGGGCTTCTGGAGGAGAGTTAGTTTCCCACCACCCATACTGAGGATCACAAGTCTGCTAACTCAGTCCTAGGGTATCCCACGCACTCTCCTGGCCTCTGCAGGCACCAGGCAAGCACTTGCTACAGAGGCGAAAACACCCATGCACACATAAAAAATAAATTAAGCAAAAATAGAGGGGAAGTTAAGGGGGAGGAACCAGAGGACTATGTGGGTCTTCATGGTGGAAGTGGCTGTCACCTCCAAGGTCCACACTCTGGCTGATCTATTTGGGTTGACGATCTTAAGTCCCAAAGGCTTCCGTATTCTCCCAAAATAGACCGGGCAGCTGGGAGCCTTACAGCCACCTGTTGACGCGCACGAGTGGGGGCAGTTTCACATCCAAAAGCAACAGGATGTTCAACTGTCGCGCAGCGGTTGTCCCGCGGAGTTTTCTCTTCTGCTGCAGACAGCGGTGGGCTGAGGGCCTTACAAACCACAGCACCTGCTCGGTTAACCGGAAAAGCAGAGTCTGGCCGGGACAGGCGAATGTAGAGAGAGTCGTGCAGGCACGGGGATGTCATGGATATATGTGACAGGGTCCCACTCCTTAGCCCAACCTGGCCTCAAACTCACAGCCAACCTCCAGCCCTTGCCACCTGAGTGCAGGCGTGAGTGTGGCCTCGCACGCTTGGCTTACGGACTTCATGATGCTGTAGTTGGCTCACTCTGTGCGTCCGGCTCCGCAGACAACCGCTACACCCTCAGGAAGGACGACCTGTGCCACCCAGGTGCGCCCCGCCCACCACCCTGGAGCACAGCGTGCATTGGGCTTCCGGGAACAACCTGCCCGGCCTCGGCCAGGCGTCGTCTGCGCAACTGCGCATGCGACCGCGCAGGCGCATTGGCGTCCGCCGGGCGCGCCACCGCCTGCCCGCCGCCGCCATGGCCGCACCCGCGCCGGGTCTCATCTCGGTCTTCTCCAGCCCGCAGGAGTTGGGCGCGTCGCTGGCGCAGCTGGTGGCGCAGCGGGCCGCGAGCTGCCTGGAAGGGAGCCGTGGCCGCTTCGCGCTCGGCCTGTCGGGCGGCAGCCTGGTCTCCATGCTGGCCCGAGACCTGCCCGCCGCCGCCGCTCCCGCCGGGCCCGCCAGCTTGGCGCGCTGGACGCTGGGCTTCTGCGACGAGCGCCTCGTGCCCTTCGAGCACGCCGAGAGCACGTACGGCCTCTACCGGGTGAGCGCTGCGGGGGCGCGTGCAGCCGGCTACGGCGGCCGCCGCGGGCCACGCGGAGCCGGCCCCGTCCGCCCAGGAGACGCCCAGGAGCTGCTTCAACGCCTGCGCGCGGGCCGCGGGCCGCCCTGGGTCTTGCAGAGTGCGCAGTGACGTCCACCAAGCCTGAAGGGCCTGCGCCGGCCAGCGCGCATCTTCCCGAGGGCCACGCCCCGGCCGTGAGGCCTTGAGGGTCGTGGCTGCTGGTGGGCTCGGCCTGCCTCTGGTGTCCAGGGTGTGTTGGCCCTCAGTTTCCTCACCTCAATCTCGAGCAGCCTGGGATGTGACGGCCAGCAGGCCCCCTATAGGGTCCGGAGCGCCCTGCTTCACACACAGGGAAACTGAGGCATGGAGGACTGAGCTCTGAGCACCCCTGGGTGTCTGCCACTGCCCCCTTGGGGAGGCTGGCCCAGTGACATGGACCCTGAGGCAGGGACCACCACACTCGCTTCAAGGTGGGGAAACCGAGGCCCAGAGATTCAGGTCCCCATGGCCCTCATCTAGGGACCTCAGTTCCGAAACTGCACCACTTTGAACGGGGTGCCTGCCCCCAAAACTGCACTGAACCGTGGGCTGTGGGTACTAGCACAAAGTTGGTATAGTGCTTGTACCTCGGTTGGTGATTGTAGCTCAGTTGGTAGAGTGCTCGCCTAGAATACACAGGTCCTGGGTTCCATTCGAGCATTCTGTAAACCAGGTGTGGTGGTGCACACCTGTCATCACTGAGGAGCTGGAGGATGGAGGGTCATGAGTTCAAGGTCATCACCAGCTATCCAGCTGGAGGCCAGTCTGTGCCACCTGAGACCATGCTGATGCCACCCACCTAAGAGAAATGAAGCAAGGATCGGTAACTAGGCCCCTCCGAGGGGACACAGTTAAAAGCTGTCTTCGACCCAGGTGACCAGGGAAGCAGGATTTCGCCACCAGGTGGAGTCCGTTGAGGATTTGATGTTAGAGGTCCCATAGGTGATCTGACACCCCGAGCAGTAGGTGTCTTAGGGGCCCAGTGGGCTGAAACAAGCCAAGGAGAGTCAATGCAGCAGCCGGTCCAGCTCTGCCCTCCTGGCTCACACAGCTTCCTGCGGCCTTGTGCTGGAGCCTTGTGCTCATCTGTTCCCCAGGCAGGGTCTGCAGCATCGTGAGTGCTGACCGGCACAGCGGCCCCGCTATCCCCACCTTAACTCTTTGCCATTTGCTCCAAGCCTGTACCTGCTCCACTAGGCAGGACATGGAGACACAGGCCAGCTGGCTGCCCAGGTCTCAAAGCAGTTCAAAGGGCCTGGAATTCAACAAGTACCCTCTTCCCAGGGCCCACCAGGTGCCAGCTGCATGCTGGACGCAGCCAGCCTGGGTCCCTAAGGTGGGAGCCCCAGGCAGATCTGGCTCTGGAAGAAGGCAGCCTAAGGAGTCAGTCAGGCCACACAGCAGTGCCCATCTGAGTGACGCAGGGTTCCTGGTGTTAGGCAAGTTCCTGTTTGGACAGAACTGTGCCTGGCCTCTGATGCCACGGTCATGTCACTCACTGACTGTCCCTTCCCCTTCCACAGACACACCTGCTCTCAAAGCTGCCCATCCCAGACAGCCAGGTCCTCACCATCGATCCTGCCCTGCCCGTGGAGGACGCTGCAGAGGATTATGCCAGGAAACTGAGCCAGGTGGGTCCCAGAACCAGTGGAGAAGCTGTAGAAGACTTGGGGACACAGGCTATCACTCTGAGGGGGCGACCTGTTGCAGAGAGACTCTGGCTGGGGCCTCACATCTCAGGGACACTCATCTTCAGACCCAAGGTCACTGAAGGGGAAGTCGAGCCTCTAGACTGGATCAGTCTGGTGTGGTAGCGTGTCTGTGGCCCCAGCATTTGGGAGATTGTGGCAGGAGGCCTGTCCTACAGGCCGGCCTGAGGGTGACACTTAGCCTCAAAAAATACTACAGACCTCATGCCGTGCCGAAGCCGCCCAATGCCAGGGTGGCCACTGTGTTGTGTAGAGAACACGATAGACATGCTCTTCTGCTGAGCAGCGGAAGGTGCTTGAAGCTAAGGCTGAGGAACCCGGACATGGAGACCTGGTTCCAGCCTCCTCCTGTGTGACCTCTGAGCCCTGCACACGCTCTGACCCACCATCCTCCCCATCAGGCCTTCCAAGGAGATGCTGTCCCCGTGTTTGACCTGCTGATCCTGGGAGTGGGCCCCGATGGCCACACCTGTTCGCTCTTCCCTGGTCATCCCCTCCTACAGGTGTGCATGGGGACTCATCTTTGCCTGTGTCCATCTCCCAGATATCTGGTGCCCACACCCTCCCAGCCCAGCCCTGCCCAGCCTCGGGTCCCTTGGGCATGGTGGCAAATGCCTGTCATCCCGGCACTTGGGAAGGGCCATGGAGAGCGAGTGAGGTTGAGGGCGTCTCGGTCACAGATTAAGAACCTGTCTCAAAAGCCCACAAGACAGTCAGAGGAAACCTGTAAACATGGTGCTTGGTGGGCCTGGCAGGGGCGGGTCCGTCCCATGCCACAGATACCACACACACAGTGTGGCCTGTCCCACCTGGCCTTCTTCCAGGAGCAGGAGAAGATTGTGGCTCCTATCAGTGACTCCCCAAAGCCACCACCGCAGAGAGTGACCCTGACACTCCCCGTGCTGAATGCAGCCCAGAGTGTCATCTTCGTGGCCACTGGGGAAGGCAAGGCAGCTGTGCTGAAGGTAACGGAGACGGACGGCAGGGTGGTCACGGGGGCCGGACGGACGGCAGGGTGGTCGCGGGGTCAGACGATGGCAGGGTGGTCACGGGGTCAGACGGCCGGCAGGGTGGTCACGGGGGCCAGACGACGGCAGGGTGGTCACGGGGGCCTGACGATGGCAGGGTGGTCACGGGGGCCGGACGGCAGGGTGGTCACGGAAGGTCAGAAGGGTGGTCACGGGGGCCAGACGGACGGCAGGGTGGTCACGGGGGCCGGACGGCAGGGTGGTCACGGGGTCAGACGATGGCAGGGTGGTCACGGGGGCCAGACGGACGGCAGGGTGGTCACGGGGGCCAGACGGACGGCAGGGTGGTCACGGGGGCCGGACGATGGCAGGGTGGTCACGGGGGCCGGACGGCAGGGTGGTCACGGGGGCCAGACGGACGGCAGGGTGGTCACGGGGGCCAGACGGACGGCAGGGTGGTCACGGGGGCCAGACGGACGGCAGGGTGGTCACGGGGGCCGGACGATGGCAGGGTGGTCACGGAGGCCGGACGGACGGCAGGGTGGTCACGGGGGCCAGACGGACGGCAGGGTGGTCACGGGGGCCAGACGGACGGCAGGGTGGTCACGGGGGCCAGACGGACGGCAGGGTGGTCACGGGGGCCGGACGGACGGCAGGGTGGTCACGGGGGCCGAACGGACGGCAGGGTGGTCACGGAAGGTCAGAAGGGTGGTCACGGGGGTCAGACGGACGGCAGGGGACGGCAGGGTGGTCACGGAAGGTCAGAAGGGTGGTCACGGGGGCCGGACGATGGCAGGGTGGTCACGGGGGCCGGACGGACGGCAGGGTGGTCACGGGGGCCGGACGATGGCAGGGTGGTCACGGGGGTCAGAAGGGTGGTCACGGGGGCCAGACGGACGGCAGGGTGGTCACGGGGGCCGGACGACGGCAGGGTGGTCACGGGGGCCGGACAATGGCAGGGTGGTCACGGTGGCCAGACGGACGGCAGGGTGGTCACGGGGGCAGACGATGGCAGGGTGGTCACGGGGGCCGGACGATGGCAGGGTGGTCACGGGGGTCAGACGGACGGCAGGGTGGTCACGGGGGCCGGACGGACGGCAGGGTGGTCACGGGGGTCGGACGGACGGCAGGGTGGTCACGGGGGTCGGACGGACGGCAGGGTGGTCACGGGGGTCAGACGGACGGCAGGGTGGTCACGGGGGTCAGACGGACGGCAGGGTGGTCACGGGGTCAGACAGCCGGCAGGGTGGTCACGGAAGGTCAGAAGGGTGGTCACGGGGCGGGGGAATGAGGAACATTTGCAGAGATCACAGGGCTCTGAGTGGGTGTTGGGTGTGGCCATGTGTCTCTAACCCCTTCTCAGGACAGGATTGCTGGGGTTGATGGCCGCTGGCCTAGTTCCAGACTTAGTCAGAGACCCTGTATCAAGGGGACAGGGTGCAGGTGATGGAGCGGGACACCTCACACACTTGAAGAAAAGATGATAATAAGGCTGGACTGCAGATGCGGCTCACTAACTGGCTGAGTGCCTCTGTCCTTCCAGAGGTCACAACCATCTGTAGCTCTAGTCCCAGGGGTTCAAACGCCGTCCTCCGGCCTCTGTGGGCACAAGGCATGCACACGGTGCACAGACACATAAAATAGAAAACAAAAATGTGTAACTTTTTTTAAAGCAAGATGGCTTAGTGGGTGAAGGGCTTGCCACCGAGCTTGAGTTCAGTCCCCAGCACCACCTGTTGTCCCCATACTGGGAGGACCATCCTTGGCTACAGAGCAAGTTCAAGGCCAGCCTGGGCCGCCTGGGTCCACCTGTTCCAACCAGGGAGCTCTAGAGCCCGTGGTGTGCGGGGCAGAGCGCAGAGCAGGACCCCACGGGTGCCTGTCCCCTGTCCGAGCAGATCCCGGGCCGGCCCTGGGTCCGGTCTTCTCCACACAGCGCATCCTGGAGGACAAGGACGGCGCGCTGCCCGCCGCCATGGTGCAGCCGCGCACCGGCGCCCTCTGCTGGTTCCTGGACGAGGCGGCCGCGCGGCTGCTGTCGGTGCCCTTCGAGAAGCACTCCACGCTGTAGCGGGCCGGGCGCTCCGGGGCTGGCCTCGGGGCCGCGGAGGGACCCACTGGGAATTAAACGGAGCGGTCCTGGAACTCTGGTCACTGTGGTTCTTGGTGGCCGAGGGTGGGTCGGGCGGCGAGCTCGGGGGCCGCCGACTGCGCACTGGGGGGGCGGGCAGAGAAATGAGCCCCCAGGTCCCAGAACCGGCTCGCGGGTACCATGTAGCTGCTTGTGTTCCGGCCGTGTGGCCGCATCCCTGCCACTGGGGACATGCCAGGGTTCACCTGGCACCTCAGCCAGCGCCTCAGTCCCCCTGCATGCCTGCTCAGTCTTGAGCAGGGCGAACTACCGTGAGCGTCCCCCGATGATGCCGTGGTGTCTGAGGTGACTCTCGGGTGTTCCCTTAGACAGGTTGTCTCCCACCTCCTCTTGCAGAGGCTGAAATGTGGGCGCAGTGGCTAGAGCTCAAACAGCCGCTCCCTTGGAGCACGAAGTGGCCGGTGCATCAGTGGCCGTGGTGGTCCCGGGGACCTAGTGGGACAGGGTGGTGGGCCTGGCGGAGTGTGGGAGTCTGAGGGGCATCCCCAGAAAGGTCACACAAGCCCGACGTGAGTGGGAATTGAAACCTCCCTGAGCCAACGTGGCTCGGAAGGGTGGGGTCCAGAACCGCAGATGGGAAGTTGCTTCTGGTGTCTGGTCCCCCGAGGACCCTTCGGCTGTGACAATGAGGAAGTGGGACGGGCTGGGACATAAGCCAGTGAGGACACAGTGGGAAGGAAGCTGCCCTGCTGGGGACTTCCAACAGCCAAGGGCAGAGGTGGGCGTGAGGACCCCATGTGAGCAGTTCTGCATGGGGCATGTCCATTGCCTCTGCCCCCGTCTCAAGGGGACCTTGCTGCCTAGGATCTGCCCCGTGCTCCAGGGTGCTGCTGGTGCTCCAGCCTCGGGAAAGGGAAGGCAGAAGGAAATTGCTAAAGGGAGCATCTTCCCTCGCGGGCAGATGGGGGGTTGTGTTCCCACCACGCCTCAGGTCATTCATTTCTTCAGTCAGCTATCTGCTCCTTTTGAGACAGGAGTTCACATAGCCCAGGCTGGCCTTCATGACCTAAACTTGTGACCCCCTGCCTCTGCTTTCTGAGTGCTGGCATGGCAGAGATGTGCCACCCACCCACCTGTCCCAGGGCATTGTTTTTCCCACACTGCCTTGGTCCCCCTGGGGCGGTCCCTACTGTCCCCCACAGAAACCCCAGTCTTGGTCCGGCATGCCCCCAGGGGACAGGGGGAGGCAGGTGCAGACAGGAGGGCAGAGGGTTGTGCCCAACGGCAGTGCCCTCCTGGAACCTGGGCCACTTGCCTGCCACCCAGCACCCTGAGCAGAGGTGGCCAGGGCGGTTCTGCACAGTGACAGGATGGGGGTGCGGCCCTCCAGCCCCTTGGACAAACGGCAGCAGCAGCAGCTGAGGGGTGAGCAGAGGGGTCGGGGGTCGGGTCCTGCTGCACAGGAGGCCACACTGGCCTGGGCTCCCAGCACCAAATACGTAGTTCCTTGCAATTCTCTTGTCCTGCCAGGAGTGGGCTTGGCTTGGAGGTCCCAGATTTTTTGTGTAATGTTTTGAGACACAGTTTCTCTGTGTAGCCCTGGCTGTCCTGGAACTCACTCTGTAGACCAGACTGGCCTCGAACTCAGAGATCCGCCTGCCTCTGCCTCCCGCTGACTGGGATTAAAGGTGTGCACCACCACTGCTTGGCTTTGGAAGATTCCAGATTCAAATGAAACTCAAGGAGCTGAGCATGGCGGCTCACACCTGTCACCCTCCACTCAAGAGACAGACAGATGCCTGAATTAGAGGCCAGCCTGGACTACATAGTGAGTTCCAGGACATCCTGGGCTACATGTGGCCCTGTCTCAAAACAAAACGAAAAGTGAAATGTGGCATTTTTTGTTCGGGGACTCAGGGGCCCTGGCGGAAGGGGTGGGGTGGGGGCTGTAGCAGGTAGACGGGTCCCCACCTGACCCCAGATGGTCCTCATGCCTGGGCGGCTGCATGGACACTGGGACTGAGGCTCCCTGTGTCTGTCCTACGCTGGGTCTGGGAGAGTGGGGCTGGACGCTCACGGTCCAGACTAACAGGACTTGGTGACTGTCCCCCAAGGGGAGGTGGGTAGGCCAGGCCGGAAGAGGGTGTGTGGTTGGCAATGAGTGTGGGAACAGCATTTGGGAAGGGGAACAGACCATGTGAAGTCCTGCATGTGCTGCAAATCATCTCTCCAAGTCTCAGGATTGACTGCTACCTGAATTTGCTGTGTGCCATTAGGTGAGTGAATCCCCCTCTCTGGGCCTCATTCTCCTGAGGTGCAACTATATACTTGGATGAAAATACTTTTGTGTGTGTGCGTGCATGCGTAGGCCAGCGATTACCATCAGCTGTCCTCTTAGACATGGAGGCGAGGTCTCTCACCTCTGCCGGGGCTCATCCGGCTGGCCGGCTTGGCCTGAGAAGACAGGCCGGTCCCCTGGCCACAGTGCTGGTCCCTTCTCCCCCACAGGTCAAGTGGACGGCCTGCTGAGGGCCTTCTTGCCCTGTTACCGCAGGCAGCTAGCGGCAGCCATGCTGAGGCAGATCTCCAGGGAGCTAGAACCCCGGGAGACCGTCGGATGCCAGCTGTCCCACACCAAAGTGCGTGGCACTGGGGACCCAGCTGAGGTTGACTCCCTCTCCACGTTCTCAGTGGTGCTGACACGTGACTGAGGACATGGAGCTGGGAAGGATGTGCCGGCCCCAGGGCCTTCGCACAGGTGGACCAGGGAGCTCTGGAGGTGGAGGCAGGCAGAGGCTTGGGGAAGTGTGTCCCTGCAGGGGGCACAGCATGTGTAAAGGCCCTGAGGTTGGCAAAGGGATAGATGGGGGGCAGCTTCGGCATGCACCTGCCCTGCTGTTGCAGCCACAGCCCCGGGAAGCACTCCTCGAGAGGACGCCATGCCCGCGTTTCTTGCCCCGTTGCCCTCTGAGCCTGCTCAGGGTTTGTTACTGAGATCAAACAGCCTGGCGATGTAGCCGCTAATAGGCTCCTGTGGCCTCCATCTGCCCCTGCCCGGGGACAGTCCTGGACTAAGGCAACTCGGGACGGGAGAGGTGGAGTGAACCACCGGAAGGCCACACCACCCAGGGGACCGGAGCCTGGGGTTTCCCACTGGCTCCCTTCCCTCCCTGCTGAGGGGAAGCTCTGTGGGCAGAGGTCACATCTGGGGCTCTCCTTGTCCCGGGCAGGCATCCCCCATACCTGCTACAGTTCTGTTTTACTTGAGACAGAGTCTCATGTAGCTGGGCTAGCCTGGCAGTGTAGCTGAGGCTGGCCTTGAATTCTTGACCCTCCTGCCTCAGCCTTCCTGGTGCTAGCTGGCAGGCTCTGGGTGGCAGCTGCTGCCTTTGAGCCTTGGGAGTATGGTGGGTACGTGTGACCAAACCTACATGACACGGGTTTTCCTTTGGGTCTCTGTAGCCCAGGCTGCCTGTAGACTACTTGAGAAACTGAGGAAGGAGGGTCCTTGGGACCCGGCAGTTGGTGGCCTACCCAGGGTACTACAATTAGATCCTGCCCCAATCAATTAAATGTTTTAAAAAAAATCTGAGTCTCTGCTTTTGGTGGCAACTGAGACTCGGGCAGAGTTCAGGGGACCCTAAAATCTGTTCTAGACCCAACAACAGCTGGAATCCCCTTGCAGAAGCTGCCTCGAGTCCGGGAGCACCAAGGACCCTTGACCCTGCTGTGGGGCCACCCACCACAGTGGCAACCCACCTTCTGTGTCCTGCGTGGGGATGGACGTCTGGAATGGTTCAGCCAAAAGGAGGTGAGTGGATGTCCAGAGCTGCTGCCTAGAATCCCCCAGTAAGGGGCTGGGGGCGTGGCTCAGGGGTGGAGCCCCACCTAGAATCCCCAGTGAGGGGCTGGGGGCGTGGCTCAGGGTGGAGCCCCGCCTAGAATTCCCCCAGTGAGGGGCTGGGGGCGTGGTCAGGGGTGGAGCCCCGCCTAGAATCCCCAGTGAGGGGCTGGGGGCGTGGTCAGGGGTGGGGCCCCGCCTAGAATCCCCAGTGAGGGGCTGGGGGCGTGGCTCAGGGGTGGAGCCCCGCCTAGAATCCCCAGTGAGGGGCTGGGGGCGTGGCTCAGGGGTGGAGCCCCGCCTAGAATCCCCAGTGAGGGGCTGGGGGCGTGGTCAGGGTGGAGCCCCTGTCTAGAATCCCCAGTGAGGGGCTGGGGGCGTGGCTCAGGGCAGAGTTCTGGCCAATAACAGGCAAGGTCCTGAGTTGCAGCTGGCCCACAGAGGTGTAGCCGAGTGATTTGGGAGCTTGCTGAGTGGCCTCCTGTGCTTGGGAACCTCAGTTTGGTCTCATGTCTTTGGTTGGTCACAGGAGTATGAGTCTGGGGGCCGTCCCCTGGGCTCCACAGCCCTGACCGGGTACACGCTGCTCACTTCCCAGCGTGAATACCTCTGCCTTTTGGATGACCTCTGCCCAAGCTCCTCTGGTAAGGATCCCTGGGTCCCCTTAGTGTCCCTTCCTCCGAGCCCGGTGGCCACCCCACCCTCCCTGTGCACTTGGTGAAGCTGACTGGATCCTCCTTTATCTATTACCAGTTGATAAACTTCCCACCCACAGTGTGACCCACACAATGTCTACAGATGTTATCAGCTGTCCCTTGGTGGACGGTATCGATCCTTGAGTACTCTTGCTTTGGGAAGGAAATGAAGTACCCACCGTCCCTGGGAGGACATCAGTAAAGCCAATGGAACAAAACCCAAACAGCAAAGAGTCTGAAGATCAAAACAAAAGCAATACACACCTTTACTCCCAGCACCTGGAGGCGGAGGCAGGCAGATCTCTGAGTTTGGGGCCAGCCTGGTCTACAGAGTATGTTTCGGACAGCCAGGGCTACACAGAGAAACCTTGTCTTGGAGAACAAACAAACAAATAAAGTAACAAAACAATACAATAAAAATTAGGGCTGGAAAAATGGCTCAGTGGATCAGAGTTCGATTCCCAGCACCCACATCAGGCTGTTCACAACTGCCTGGAACTCCGGCTCCAGGGCATCTGATGCCTCTTACCTCAGGCACCTACATATATATGTATAAACATACAGATGGTTAAAAATAATAAAAAAAACCCCATAAAACCCAGTGTCAGTAAGCATGCAAGGAGACAGGCATGGTGGGAAGCAGTGTGCAGGCTTGGGCCAGGGTGCACAGGCCCGCTGGGGTCCTGGGCTTCGAGTTTCTCCCGCTCTGTCGCTGTTCACTTGTTCCAAAAACGATGCAGAGTTCATCTTGCCGAACCCACGGAGTACTAGGGCCTCGGCTGTGTTTAATCTTTGAGAGTTTTTGCTCTAAGTCCCAGGCTGGTCCAGAAGTCACACTAGCTCTTTCAGGCTGCTGTCTTGCTTTCAGGAGACCTCGCTCAGGAGGAGCCGCTGAGAGTGCTGGAGGAGCCGGCGAGCTTCCCGCTCTTCCTCGCGCACCCTTTCCGGGCTCACCTTTGCTTCTGTGCGGGCACGCGAGGAGAGCAGCGCGCCTGGAGGCTCGGCCTGCAGGGTGCCATCCGGCTGAGAGCCACCGGTGCGTCCCAGGGTGGGGCGCAGGCGGGGAGCGGGAGGACGATGGGCGCAGGTGTGGGGCTCCCTGGGGAGGGCCGGGGCAGAGCGCGTGGTTGACGGCACCCTCAGTCCTGCAGCGCAGCCGGGCGCCTGCGGCCTGCGCCTTCCTGGAGGCCGTGCGCCTCTATCGACGACGCCGGGGCTTTGCCGGTGGCGACGACGCGACCCTGGGCTCCGACGCGGAGGTGAGCGGTGTCCCGGTGTCCCGCAGGCCCGGGCAGGTTCCGCCACCCGCCACACACCACACTCTCACGCCTCCCCTGCAGGTGCTGAGCGCCGAGCTGATGCGGGAACTGTTGCCGGCGCTGCGCGCACAGACGCTGCGGGGCCTGCGAGGCGCGGGGCGCGCCCGGGCCCGGGCCTGCGCGGAGGTGCGGAGCCGGATGCGGCGAGGGGATGAGGAGAGCGAAAGGGAGGGAAGGGAGCCGCCCCGAGCCCCACGCGTCCGCCCACACCACCCTCGACGCTGCAGTTCCTCGACGCTGTGCACGCGACCGTCCTGGCCCGGGTATCCGCAGGGCTGCGCGCATTCCAGCCAGAAAAAGACGCGCTGCTGGCGAAGCTCGAGAGGACAGTGCGCGCAGAGTTCGAGCAGATCATGCAGCAGCGAGCCCAATGGGCACAGAAAGTAGAAGGTGAGCGAGACAGGGGTAAGGGGCGGGGCCACTGGGGGGGGAGGGCGAGAGGTGGAGCTAGGAACGAGGGTGGGTCCGGGAGCACGAAGGCGGGGCCACAGAGCGAGGGGCGGGGTCTGGGCAGGAATGCCGCAGGAGGCTGAGGGGCGGGGTCAGGAAACGTAGGGGCGGTGCCAGCCGGGAGTGGGCGTAGAGCTTCGGGAGCTGGGCCTACTAGCAGGGGAGGGCGGAGCTAGCAGGATGGATGGTGTTGGCCTGAGGGGGCGGGGTCTTGCGAATGAAAGGCGGGGCCTAATCGGGGCGGGGCGGGGCCTGGGGAATAGGCTGGGGAAATGGTGTCAGCTGGTGAGGAGCAGAGTGGGTCTCTGGATCCTGGCTTGGAGACACCCTGAGAAGGGAATGGTGTGAGAGGGCGTGGCCTGGAACCTGGAGAGACCCTGGCCTGTTAAGTTGTGGGCCAGGTAGGAGACACGAGTTGGCGGAGGCCTTGCAGGGTCTGCTCTGCAGCCCAGTTATTAAGACCCGGGTTTGAATCACCTTCTGCTTCCTCGGCCTGTGCCTTTGGGCCAGGTCTCACTGCTCCTAGTCTCAGTTTCCTCATCTGTAAAATGGGTACCCGGCTGGCCAGGCTGAGGTCCCTGCTCCTGTGCATCCACTGAGTGCCTGGTGGAGAAAAATCCAGGTCCACGTATCCCCTCAGCCGAGATCCGAGACCCCCTGGAGGCATGCCTGTGCCGCATGGTGGATCCGCAACTGCCTCAGCTTACCCTTGCGCTGCTGAGCCCCGTGGAAGCCACGCTCCAAACCGTTCGCACTCTCCTCATCCGGGGCATGGACCGGCTGTCCCACCACCTGCACAAGAATCCTTCTGGCACACGGCTACGCCGGGAGGTTAGCATGTGGGCCGCCAGCGGCACGTCCGCCTTGGCCTGTCTGTATCATAAGCCAATGGTGTTTTCTCGTGGGACTGCTATTCGTCTGTACGTAGGTTTATGAATTTGGGGAGATACCTTGGGACCCAGAGCTGATGCAGGCCTGCTATCGGGAGGCAGAGAGAAACCGCAGCCACCTGGCCCAGCTGGCAGAACCATTTGGCTTCCTGGGGATGCGGAGCCTGGTGTTTGGGGCCCAAGATCTTGCACAACAGGTGAGAAGAGTGAATGAGAAGGAAGCATTGGGTGTCCCTAGTAGAGGGAGAGAGAGAGCATTTATGGGCACGGAATGGGTCCAGCTGGTAGGCAGGCAGAGCCTGGAGAGAGGATGAGTCTGTGGAGGGCAATGGGGAGCCTGAGAGGTGGGTGAGCAAGGGCAAGAGCATGGCCTCACTCAGGTTTAGAACGCTCCGTCTGCTGTTGGGTGTTCTGTCTGTAAAGGCAAGAGTGGAGGAGGCTGGAAGCCCTGATCCAGATGGAGGTGGGGTGGTGCAGGCCTGGCCCAGCACTTGGGAGGTTGAGGCAGGAAGATCAGGATGCCAGGGTCATCCTCAGCCTCGCAGTGAGTTTGAGGACAGTGTGAGGCTCTGTCTAAAACGAAAAGAAAGACATGTTTTTGCAGGCAGAGTTTCTCTGTGTCCCGAATAACCACCCAGAGACTTATTATTTATTATAGATGCTCGGTCGATAGCTCAGGCTGGTTACTAGCTAGCTCTTACATTTTAAATTAACCCATGTTTCTTATCTACCCTCTGCCACATGGCGGTACTTTCTTTCAACACAGCATATTTATCTTGCTTCTCTCCAGTCCCCTCAAGACCTTCAGACTCCGCCCTTCTTCTTCCCAACATTCTCTCTGCCTCAAAAATCCTGCCTAGCTACTGGCCAGTCAGCTTTTTATTAAGCCAATCTGAGTTGACAAAACTTCACAGTGTACAAAAAGATTATTCCACAGCATGTTTTGAAGGCAGGGATAGGGCCCTGCCGTGGACACGGGGCATGAAGGAGGAACAGCCTGAGGGTAAGCCACTGGTGCCGGGCACGCATGTTCAGTTTGTACACTGCACAGGAGTACTCCCCGGGGAGGCTGGAGATCTTTCCTCAGACTAGAGCCTAGGGGACAGGCTGCTGGGAAAGTATTGGGCGTTAGAAGCCCGAGCCAGAGCGGTGGTCCTGGGGTGTGGGATCATCTGGGCATCTCCTTCACAGCTTATGGCGGCCGCTGTCACCACCTTCCTACAACTGGCTGATCAATGTCTGACGTCGGCTCTGGACTGCGGCCAGGCAGCTGAGCAGCTGGAGAAAGTCAGGGGCCTTGTGCTGAAGGTGAGGTTGTGGCAGGGGCCTGTGCCCCAGAGTGCTGAGGGCCCTTTACAGGCTGGCTATGTCCCCTGCAGAAGTTCACCTCGGACAGTGAGACCACTCGGTGGAGGTTCACCCGGGACAGGCTGCTGGGAATCTTCTGGCCCTTTGTGTGGAGCCAGCTTGGGGTGAGCTCTAACTTGGTGAGTGGACACCTGAGACATCTGTCTGGAGGGGGCAGAGTGCCCACTCTTGCCGGAAGGCACTGGAGCACAAGACTCCACCTCTGCTGCCCAGGCTGGGTGGGGGCTCTTTGGGCTTCCACAGTGGCCTGTGCATTGGTTCATTGCTAATGCTTGCGGACCGCACACACTCCCAGAGTTCCATCCCAGCAGTGCTGAGCCTGCGCGGGCTCCATGGGTCTAGGTTTATAGGGGAGAACCGCCTGCGCAAAGGTCCGGGGGCAGGACTGGCCAGGCAGGAGTCAGTTGAGGGAAGAAACAAGAGGAAGGGTGTGGATGGGGAGGACTACCAGGACTCTTCAGAAGAAGCAGCTGTGGCTAGGTCCCAGCTGAGACACTTGAGAGGTAGGATGGCTGTGTGGCCTTAGTCCATGTGGGACCAGGGATGAGCAAGTCCCTATTGCAGACAGGGAAGCAAGAGCACCCCAGCAGATCTGGCCAGGGCTGGGGGGGCACACAGGCCCTGCATCCAGCCAAGCTCCTCACTGTGGTCCTAGGAACAGCCTGAGGTGGATGGGGACATCCTGGCCATGGGCTGCCAGGTTCTGACCACTGAGGGTGTCTGCAGGGACGTCATCCAGGGCCTCCTTCTGCAGAGGATTGACAGAGGTGAGTTCCAGCTGTGGCTCAGCGCAGCCTTGCTCAGTCCCTTTCATTTCCTGCGGACGCGTGCACAGAACTGGAGGGTCCTGAGTGGGCAGTGGTGGGGCTCCCTGAAGGGGGGCACTGGGGTGGGATTCTCCGGAAGAGGAGAGAGAGGTAGTTGTCCCTGGTACGGGAGAGTTGGTCTGCAGTCCACTCAGGAGCTCCTGGGTGCTCACAGAGCCTTTGAAGACAGCAGAGGGGAGAGGGTCTCGGGAGGCTAGATGAGTGGCGGAGACCCAGAGACAATGGCGTCCCAGGAGCAGAGTGAGACTGTGTCCTTGATGTGTGGGCCAAACAAGAAAAATGGAGCTGAGATAGTGATGCAGGCCTGCCATCTAAGCAATCCTCCTGCCTCAGCAGCCTGAGTGCCTGAACCCACATGGCCAGGAGAGTAGAGTTTTTTTTTTTTAATTTTTTAATTTTATTTTATGTGCATTGGTGTTTTGCCTGCATGTCTGTCTGTGAGGGCATCAGTTCCCCTGGAACTGGAGTCACAGATGGTATGAGCTGCCATGTGGGTGCTGGGAACCGAACCCGGGTCCCCTGGAAGAGCAGACCATGCTCTCAACTGCTGAGCTGTCTACTTCTGAGAGTAGAAGTTTTAAATGGCTGCAAACTAAGTCCAGAAATGGGGACCTGGATGAGCTTCGGACCCCAGAGCTTGTGTACATCCTTAGGGGAATTCCACCTGCCATTGATTAGTAATGTCTGCATTGGTGAAGCATGGAAAGAGGATCAGGGGAGGCTGCAGCTGGCCTTCCTCAGATGGGCCCGGGTGTTCTCTCTTGTTCTAGAGTTGAAAAAGAGTCTTGGTGCCAGTGACAGAGTGTGCTCTCCAGCTGGCTGCTCGGTATCCCTGTGAACCAGGAAGGAGCAAGTGAGTAGCTCACAGGTTCTAGGCCATGGCAAGGAATGGCCACGGGGTCGCATAGGATGTGTAGGAGTGTGGCAAGGGTAGAGTAGATGGACTAGAATGAACTTCATCTGCTGAAGTGGCCAGGCTGGCCAAAGATGTGGTGAACAGGTGGAGGGGCCATTGGCCCTGACACGCACGTGTGTTTGTTTTTGGCAGAGTTTTTGGTCCTGGGAGCCACTTCCAAGTTACCACACAGAGACTTATATTAATTGTAAATGCTCGGCCAATAGCTCAGGCTTGTTACTAACTAGTGCCTACATTTTCCTTATTTATACTCTGCCACGTGTCGGCACCTTTATTAGCATGGCAGTTCGTCCCTTGCTCCCTCTGTGTCTGGCTGGCGCCTCCTCTGACTCCGCCCTTCCTCATCCCATCATTCTCAGTTTGGCTCTCCTGCCTAACTTCATTCTGTTCAGCTATTGGCTGTTCAGCTTGTTTATTAAACCAATCACAGTGACATATATTCACACAGTGTACAGAAGGATCATTCCACAGCACACATGGGCAGAGATGTAGCAGGCTTGTGTCTCAGTTCCTGCCACCCAGACACGGCGGGGGGTCTTGTCAGTTATTTCCCGTTATCAACACTGGGAGGGGCAATGGTGATGGTCAGCAAAGGCACTGTGAGGCAAGGTGACTTGGGCTCACTTGTTACACAGCCGTGGCTGACTTAGACCCTCTTTAGTTTCCACAGCCGTGTATTCACATGAAGTCACATGAAGGGAGTAATAGAAAGGCCCTTGTATGGTCAGATATTTATATACAAGGAACTTGAGTGTCCCTCCACCTGCCACATAGACCAGGGTGAACCTGCACACACAGCCCTATGGGTGAAATCCCGTGGAATCGCGGGTGTGGAGAGGCAGGCTGGCATTTCCACGGGGCTCTGCGGCGTGTTCTCCCGCCTGGCCACTGTGTCGCATAGCTCTTCAGTTCCTCTGGCTTCGTGAGCCTTATCCCTGCTTCAGCCTCCTTGGCTGTGGATCCGTCAGGCCCTACCCCTGGCTTGGGACATGGGACATGCAGGTGACAGTTATCATCTCCACAGACGAGGGAGCTGAGGCTCAGGTCTGAAATGGAGAGACCGACCCTGGTGGCCAAATTCAGCCACTCCACCCACCATTGCTTCCAAGAACATTCCAGAGCTGGTCTTCACCCACGCCCATCCTGGTGGACAATGGATACAGACCCAAGTGTGTGAACTGCTTCTGGCTTTTCAACTGCTGCACATCCAACAAAGCATCATAGATTGTATGTTCCTGCTAGAATTTGTACACTCAAGTTCTGAGCTAACCTGGGCTACCATAATAAGACATTGTATAATAAAAATAAAAAATCCAAACCTCTGTTGATTTGACACATGTATCCCATTAATTTCGTTTTTCATTACTTTTTACTTTAAAAACCCGTACAATTTTTAAAGTTTCTTTGAAATTTTTGGTGTGTGTGTGTGTGTGTGTGTGTGTGTGTGTGTGTGTGCGTGCACATGAGTGGGCATGTGGCGGTCAGAGGACAGCTTTCAGAAGTGAGGTTTTCTCTTTCCATCAAGTGGGTCTTAAGGATCAAACTTGGGTCATCAAGTTTGGCGGCGAGCATCTTTACCCGCGAAGCCATCTCGCTGGTCCTCATTTTCACTTTTATCATCGTTTGATTTCTAACTGCTTGGATGAATAAATTGAGCTTTTTTTTTTTTTTTTTTTGGTTTTTCGAGACAGGGTTTCTCTGTGAAGCTTTGCTCCTTTCCTGTAACTCGCTCTGTAGACCAGGCTGGCTTCGAACTCACAGAGATCCTCCTGGCTCTGCCTCCTGAGTGCTGGGATTAAAGGCGTGCGCCATCACCGCCTGGCTAAATTGAGCTTTAAAACGCCAAGAGCCGGGTGCTTGATTGGCCAGCCGCGTGGCGAAGCCCCGCCCCCAGCCCAGCCCGCGGGATCCTCTGGCTGGCTTCCTGGCCAGCACTGCCGTGGCCCCCCCTCCCCCTCCCTGGTCGCCGCCTCCCCAGCTACTTCCGGGCGGTTCCAGGGGGTTTTCCCTACCGCTCTCTCCTGGGCCGGAGGAAACCTGAGACCCACACAGTCCAGCTGTGTCAATCCCCGGCCTCAGCACCGGACGTTTAGTTTTTAAATTTCACTTACTCATCTTGCATCTCTTCTGGCTGCTGCAGACGGTCACCGAGACCCAAGATTGGAATGCAAAAGCTAATTCTGGAGTCAGGGCGGATGCTGACGCACCTTTGAGAGCAGCTGTCGCTACCAGCGCCAAGCCCTGCCCAGAGGAAGGGACCCTGCTGGTTCAATTCCGTGGTATGAGATTTCATAAAATCCAGCATCGAGCGAGTTAGCCTGCCCTGCCATCCCCTTAGAATGAGTACTTGTCCCAGAAATACCCAAACATGTATCATGCATTTCTTTATTTGATAATAGGTCTGGATATGCTGTAACCAGGGCTGGCCTCAAGCTCCCAGAGGTCCTCCTGCCTCAGCTTCCCAGATGTTGGGGTTTTAGGTGTGTAACCCCATGCCTGGTGAAAAGTTAATTGTTTGGTGTGTTTGTTTGTTTAGTTTAAATGGAGTCTTATGTAGCCCAGGCTTCCCTGGACCTGTCTGCAACTGAGGATGCCTTGACCAGACAGTGACGGCTTGGCCATCGCTGGCTGAGTTACTCTTTAGAAATGATGTTAACATGATTAATGAGAATAGTTCTCATTAAGATGTGAGTAAAAAAAAAAAAAAAAAAACTTGCAAGAACTGGTCAGTGGTGGCGCACGCCTTTAATCCCAGCACTCGGGAGGCAGAGGCAGGCGGATCTCTGTGAGTTTGAGGCCAGCCTGGACTACAGAGTGAGATCCAGGACAGCCAAGGCTACACAGAGAAACCCTGTCTTGAAAAACAAACAAACAAACAAAAAACCTGTAAGGGTTTCTTTGGAAATATGGGTAGTGTCTCCAGAGAACCTATTCAACAAACGGGAGCCTTGGGTTCTGGCTCCAACCTCATGCCCTGTGGAAGTCTCTCAAGTCACTCATTTTACAGAATGCCATGGAGGGAGGGGGCTGGACTTGGAGGCAGCTGGTTGATCCCAGGACCTTCAAATTCAGCAGCTCCTGGGGGAGGCTAGGGACCAGAGTAGCCTGTCACCCCAAAACACAGGAGGCTGACACAGAAGGGTCACTGTGGCTTTATAGTAAGCGTGGGCCTGTTTCAAAAACCAGAAAAAAATGGGCTGGTGAGATGGTTCAGCTGGTAAAGGCGCTAAGCCTGAGGCCCTTCGTTTCTTCTCTTGGACTCACATGGTGGAAAGAATGAAAAGACCCCCACACACACACACAGACACAGACACACACGCACACACTGTCCTGACTTCCACATCCCCTCCCCGACACACAAATAAATAAACTTAAAAGGGACAAAATACATTTAGGGAGCTGGAGATACCATCAGTTAAGACCACTTGTTGCTCTTCCAGAGGGCCAGAGTTCGATTCCCAGCGCCACATGGTGGTTCACACCAGCTGTAACTCCAATTCTAGCCGATCTGACGCCCTCTTCTGACCTCCATGCATGCACACGGTGTACAGACATACATGTGGGCAAAACATTCGTACACAGAAGATGAAAAAATAAACAAAAGGTTGGGGGGAACACACAAGCCGCGGCACTCTTACGGAGGTCAGAGGGCAACAGTTTTGGGGTTGGTTGGCTCCTTCCAGAACTCAGGGCGCGAGGCAGAAAGCGCTTTTACCCACTGAGACATTTCGCTGGCCCCTTAATATGATATTCAGAAGCAACAAACAAACGAAAATAACCATGTCGCAACCGAGGAAACTGAGGCTGACATGGTCCTAACTAGACGCCTCTGTACAGAAGCACAGAGTCAATTTAGAAGGCTCATGACAGGCGACGCTTGCAGGGCGCGGTCACGGGACGGCTCTGCGCCTTTAAGGTGTGAGCTGGGGGCGGGGCTCCAGAACCATCCTACAAGCTGACGTCATGCGAGGGGGACGGGGCGGTCGGCGGGAAAGCAGCGTTAACTTTTAAAGGGGCGGCCTTGTCCCTTCCACTCCCGACGACTCACAGCACGGCCGGAGAGCCCCTTCCCTTTAAGGAGCGCGTCAAGGGAGGGACTTGGATAGCCCCGCCCCCAGACCCCTTTAAGAAGCGGCCCTGGTCCGCCGGCAGAAAAGCGGCTTAAAGGCGACGCGTGGCGCGATGGCGGCGTTCCCCGGCGGGTCCCGCGCCCTGCGGTTGCTGCCGCTGCTGCTGCTGCCGCTGCTGCTGGGCGGCGCGGACGGCTACTTCCCCGAGGAGCGCTGGAGCCCCGAGTCCCCGCTGCAGGCGCCGCGCGTGCTCATCGCGCTGCTGGCGCGGAACGCGGCGCCCGCGCTGCCGGCCACGCTGGGCGCCCTGGAGCGGCTGCGCCACCCACGGGAGCGCACGGCGTTGTGGTGAGCTGCGGACCTGGGCAACGTGCGCGGGGCCTCGGCTGTGCACTCGGGGGATTAGGCTGTGCACCCGGGGGACCCGATTTTGTACCCGAGGGACGCGATTATACACTTGGCGGACTCGGCTCTGCCCTGCCGAGACTCTTGTTTATGCACCCGAGGGACTTGCTTTTCTACCTGGGGACTTGGGTTATGCACCCAGGGAGCTCGGCTATGTACCCGAAGTACCGGGTTTCGTCCCCATTGCAGCTTGGGACCCGGAGTTACTGCCCCCCTGGCAGATTCTGAGCTGCTGCCAGCCCTCTCAGCGAGCTGCGACCCTATAGGACCCCAGACTCCCTCAGAACGGGCCAGGCTGTTGCTTCCAGTGCCTTCCAGCGCACTGTGCAAGGCCAGCAGCTTCCAGATCAGGTGCCCCAGGCTCGGGCCGGCATTCCATGCTAAGATAAAGTCAATGAACTTAACAGGTTTCCAGCCCCAGTCAGACCCCTGTGTGACCTGAGAATGAAGGAAGGGACCTGAAGGCTGTGGGGAGAAAGGGGCTCTTCACACAAAGAGACCCTGGCCTGGGAACTTGACATCCTGACTCAGTTTCCTTTTACATAGTTTTTCTTTGTGACAGGGCCTCACAGCAATAAGCTTTCCAAACTAGCAGGCTTCATTCATCTGTGTATCATTGAGCTGTGCTGGGCAATAGGCACTGAGCCCGAGGGTGCTTATCCAGGGCTTTGTAGCTGGTGAGGACTGAGCCAGCATGGGAAGCCCCCAGTGCCATCCTGTTGTTGTGTCTTGCCTTTGTTTCCCCAACTGTTCTGACCCATCCTCCCCTCGTGTTCACAGGGTGGCCACCGATCATAACTCTGACAACACTTCGGCCATACTTCGAGAGTGGCTGGTGGCTGTGAAGGGTTTGTACCACTCTGTGGAGTGGCGACCTGCCGAGGAGCCTAGGTGAGCCTCAAGTCCTCACTAGGGTACCCAAGCCCAAGCTTAGAGCCAGCACGCACGCCCTACCCCCACCCTGGGCGTCACCAGCGGATTGCGATCCTCCGGCAGACCTTTGTCCCCAGTGTCCTTCACTCCATTGTCCAGCCTTGGACACAAACCTGCCACACCCCGTGGCGGAACTCCTTTGTGTCTGGTGGCCACTTGCTGTTGTGTCCCTGCCTCAGGGTGTTGCCAGCCTCCTCTCCTCCAACTCCAGGATGAGCCTGTCTCACTGTAGTCCAGGCTGGCCTGGGACTTGCCATCCTCCTGCCTCAGTCTCCTGAGTGCTGGAATCACAGATGTCCACCCCCACACACCAGCCTGTGGGTTTGTATCCAGTCATCTTCGTGGGCTCTCCTGTGCCTTTTGTGCCCAGGGGCACCTCGATGGCCTCCGGATCTCGCTCTCCGCGCAGAGCTTTCCTTGGTCCCCAGCTTGCCAGCAGCCTCTGTGGCTCTGGGCCCCTGCACCTGTCTCTGCTTGGAGGCCTTCAGATCCGCTGCAGGCCTTTTCCTCTGGAGCCTCCTGTGATCCCCTCCCAGGTGTGGCGGGGTGCCCCACAATCCCTGCATCACAGCTACTCTCCCACAGCGCCTACCCAGATGAAGAGGGCCCCAAACACTGGTCTGACTCCCGCTACGAGCATGTCATGAAGTTGCGCCAAGCGGCCCTGAAGTCGGCTCGGGACATGTGGGCTGATTATATCATGGTGAGTTCTGAGTGGGAGAGCTGGGCTGTCCAGAGGGAGATTTAGGAACCATGAGTAACCGCACTGGGCTGCACAGAAAACCTTGTCTCAAAAAAAAAAGGGGGGGAGGGTGCTGTGCTAGTCCAGTGGGTACTGAGGCCTGGGTGGGTACTGAGGTCTGGGTGGGTACTGAGGCCTGGGTGGGTACTGAGGCCTGGGTGGGTACTGAGGTCTGGGTGGGTACTGAGGCCTGGGTGGGTACTGAGGCCTGGGTGGGTACTGAGGCCTGGGTGGGTACTGAGGCCTGGGCCCCACACCAGGGCCCCAAAAAAGGACAAGTGGCTTTAGATCCCCTTGGAGTTGGACACTACATTGCATTTTTTAAAATACATGTTTTAAAATAAGATTATTTGTAGCCGGGCAGTGGTGGCGCACGCCTTTAATCCCAGCACTCGGGAGGCAGAGCCAGGCAGATCTCTGTGAGTTCAAGGCCAGCCTGGGCTACAGAGTGAGATCCAGGAAAGGCGCAAAGCTACACAGAGAAACCCTGTCTCGGGGGAAAAAAAAAAAGAAAAGATTATTTGTGTATAAGGGGCAGGCGAGGTCACACTGCGGGAGTGGTCCTCTCTTCCACCCTGGGGTCCTGGGATCGACCTTTTTTGGCTCACTATGGAGCACCAAGGGACGCCAGCTAGAGCCATGAAAGTGCCAAGCAGCGGCCGAGGCCTGACTTCCTCTATCCTGACTTCCTGTAAGGGGACAGCTTCTGGGGCTGGAGAGCTCAGTGGGTAAGAGCACTGGGCGCCCTTGCAGAGGACCCAGGACCAAGGGCCCAGGACCGGCTCACAAGCAGCTAACCTCAGGTCCTGAGGAATCTGGTGCCCCCTTCTGGCCTGTGCGGGCACTGCACTCACATGCTTGCGGGGTGGGGGTGGGGGGGCTTTTTTTGAACTATTTATTTATTTATTTGTTTTGAGACAGAGTTTCCCTATGTGGCCCTGGGAGCTCTGGAACTCACTCTGTAGACCAGGCTGTCCTAGAACTCACGGAAATCCGCCTGCCTCTGCCTCCTGAATGCTGGGATTAAAGGTGTACACCACTATGCTCAGCTAGATTATTTTTATTTTGTGCTCATGGCTGTTTTGTCTACATGTCTGTACAGCACATGTGTCCTGGTACCTGTAGAGGTCAGTAGAGGGTCTCACATCCCCCAGAACTGGAGTTACAGACGGTTGTGAGATGCCATGTAGGTGCTGGGAACTGAACCTGGGTCCTCTGAGAGAGCAGCCAGTGCTGTAACCGCTGAACCATCTCTTTGGTCCCCAGTGAAGTGTGTGTGTGTGTGTGTGTGTGTGTGTGTGTGTGTGTGTGTGTAGCATCAGGCTGAGTGTCCATGGCTCTCTGGCCCCTGTCCTGACAGTCGGTGGACTCAGGCACGTGGCTGGATCTGGCTTGTTCCCCTGAGAGTTGCTGCGGTTGGATTCCAGTGTCTTGTCTGTTCTGTTTGCTGATTGGTTGATTGCTTGCTGTAAATCCTTGCTGTGTCATTTACACTAGCCTGGAACCCGTGGTCCTCCTGCCTCAGCCGCCCAGGTGCTGAGGTACCGGGCTTGAGCTCCCTCGTTGTAACCCGAGTTGTTTTCCTTGTGCAGCTGCTGAGGTGAACCCAGGTCTCGGGGTCTCGCGTGTGCTGGGCAGAGCTGGATTCTGCACCCAAGAGCAGCACTGTCCTCATGCCTCTGCAGGGAACCTGTTTTCACAGGGTCAGCAGAGAAGGGAGGTCAGAGCTACCGTGAGCGTGGCTGTGTTTGACGCCCCCAATCCCAGGCTCACACCCCAGGAGGGACTCAGTCGGGATATACAAGAGGCAGGGCCCAGCCGTGCGGACATGATTTTGTTTTGTGTTCTTTTTTTTTTTTTTTTTTTTTTTTTGGTTTTTCGAGACAGGGTTTCTCTGTGTAGCTTTGCGCCTTTCCTGGGACTCACTTGGTAGCCCAGGCTGGCCTCGAACTCACAGAGATCCGCCTGGCTCTGCCTCCCGAGTGCTGGGATTAAAGGCGTGCGCCACCACCGCCCGGCTTTGTTTTGTGTTCTTGACGACGTTTATTTATTTATTTGTGGGTCGTCACATGTTGTCCTAACCTCGGGAGGCTGGAGGACGACTTTGGGGAGTCTGTTGTCTCCCCATGAACTCAGATGGTCAGGCTTGGATGGAGGGCCGCCGATGGCTTCATCCCGGATGCCCGGATCTAGGAGGCCCGTGGGGAAGGCAGGTGACTTCAGCTTGGAGAGGACAGAGACTCTGGAAGGAGGGGGGTGGACCCATCTCCCATTTTACAGAAGTGAAGGTAGATGCTGGAGGCAGAAGAGAGATTGTGTGGACCTGGGACGTTTCAGAGGTGAATGAAAAAAAAATAAAAAGGAAAGGTACGGACATGGCTGCTCCCGGGTGTGGTGGAGGAGAAAGTTTATCGTAGATAAAAGGGAGAGCATGGGTAGAGGCAGGGCCACGTGGGAGAGTCCAGAGTGGACATGACCAGACTGAGCTGGGTAGAGGACGGGTTATGCCAGCCATCTTCTGTAACAGGTAGGGACTGAGGGATGCTGGGAGAACCTGGCAGCCAGGTCCACTTTGAAATGTTAAGTAGGCACCTCAGCTACGTTGACAATGAATGAATAATAAGGGGCAGAGTAATGTCTATGACTGCTTCCTGTTGGCATCGTAGTTGGGGACCCAAAAAAGCTGGAATGTTGGTCAAGTCAGGAAGAGCAGACTGCTTCACTCACTGTCCAGGCTCAGCAGGACCTTCTGGGGCGAGGGACGTGAAGGCAGCAGTCTTTAATTGGAAATCTGCTGGAAAGAAGTAAAGTGAAGGAGGTTACGGGCAAGTTTTTTTCTTAGGTGTGCATTTCATACTTTTAAGCCCATGGTCTTGGTAGCCGAGGGAAGGGAGTCCCAAGACCAGGGAGAGAGAAAGAGATCCCAGCCTCAGGCGGTTGGTTGACAATACTTATCTGGAGTCCATTTGACCTGTGAGAGGTGGCCCAAGTTGATTCCCTGAAGCTTTCAATAATTTTTAAGTTTATAAAAAGAGATAAGTTTTAGACACATCAGCATTCCCACTGTTTGTAATTTGTACAAAAATCCACATTGTAGAAAAGGCAGTAGACTCTCTCCTTTGAGTCACAGTAAAAGCTTGGGAACCCAAAAGTGACTGTGGTTAAAAGCATGAAGATGCTTTCCTCTAGATTAGACAGATGCTTTTAGCACAGTGAGGAGCACTTCAGAGTCTATAATCTGGAGTTTGAGGACCGTGTATACCTGACGAAGTTGCTTGCTTTATAGGCTTAACTTTGAAACATTCCATTTTCTACCCATTAGGTTTAACTTTAAAAAAATAACAATTTTTGAAATGAAACTCTTCTAGAATCAAAATAAAACTTTTAAATCATAGATACAGTCCGTAGAGACTGTCGACTTTTTATCAAACATATATTGGTACTTCTGTAAATTTTCTAGCAGCTAGGTGTTGAAGAGTGAGCAGAGACGTAAGTCACACATACATCCTAAGTCAGCTATTCCTAGTAGACAAGTTTTATCACCACACAAAAATCCATGGCAATCCAAAATATTTTAGAGAACTCTTCTTAGTCTAAAAGGAGAGACAGTGATACACTAAGGGTTCGGAAGGACTGAGAAGTTTTATAATTGCTGCATTATGCCCCATGGTCATCTTAAGTTGGGGAAGTCACATGGCACATACCCTTTAACCTTACTTAGTAAAGATGGCTGCCAGCCATGTGGCTGCTTACAACCTGAAGGCCATCAGCCAAGGTGGTGGAGAGCCACATGGTTGCTATTTAGGAACTCTGCTTTCCTAAACAAGAGTTGAATCTAAGTTACATATACAGTATATTCTAGATAAGAGTTGAATCACATATGTATATGTTGTAGCAAATTAAGATTCCCACATCATACAGGTTTTAACTGTAGCCTTTTGCTGTAAGTTTTAAGCCAAATTTTGTTACAGATTCTGTAACCACACTCAATGAACTTAGGAATCAATCCTGAGATAAAGGGTGTTTACACAAGAATCTTAAAAGATTTGAGAGCAGAACACAGAGAAATCGTAGAGGCAAAGATTTAAGAGCGGAAATTATATAACCTTAAGAGATAAGAGACTTTGGGATCATTTGCTTGTGTGCTGGCAGAAGTTGTTACAATCTGCGGGAATTTGGAACTCGATTATGCCATCTCAGGAAGACAGCAAAGCTTTAAGAAAATCTCTGAGTCCAATGAGCAGGGGAGGAAGAGGTTAAGAGACAGAACGGTGTAGCCGCATAGCGTGAGGGACAAGCAGGAACTCCACCCGAGGGAGGGATCCAATGTCCCTGAAGCCATGAGGGCATAGAGAGGCTGCAGGACTTAGCCCGCAGCACTTGGGGAGGCCTCGGAGGGCACCAGGGACGACAGAGCAGGTAGCTCGAGGGGGAAGGGGCCAAGGAAAGGTGGAAGGCCCCAGAGCACGTGGGCAGTGCCTAGGGACGGGGAAGAAGTCCAGGAAGAAACTGAGGAGCCACAGTTTCAATCTGGGGCGTCCCCAAGCGGACTGAGAGATTTGTCCGAGAGAAATGTCCCGAGTCACAGAGGAGAGGCGTCCTTTCCATATGAGGGGGCCTGGTAAGGCCGGAGGAAGCTTCCTGACACACCGGTGTGGCTTTCGTAGTAGACGCAGCAGGGGCTCCGTGGACGGGGAGAGCCAAGTGGTTAGAGCCACAGAGGACTCAGCGGCCGGAGAAGTGCAAGTGTCTTAGAAATGCACGCATGCGCACGGTGGGGTCCCCAAGGACATAGCAGGGGCGTGCCCACAGGGTGATCGCCCCAAGAGGGGCGTAGCCGGGAGGGAGGAGCTTACTGAGTAGGGAGATGGATGAGGTGGAAGGGAGAAGCCAGCAGAAGCAAATGGCCGGTCCACACCTTAGGAGAGTCAGAGCAGCAGCCGATCCGAGCGGCCCAGGCCTTGCAGAGGGAACTCATTCAGGCTACTCCCGAGTTTCAGCCCCAGATGAATGGGAAAAAAAAAAGAGCATTTGAAAGGAAGGACATGACAGCTCCTAGGAATGGTGGAGGAGGAGGGTTATTGTGGATAAAAGGAAGAGCGTCGGCGGAGGGGACATCTGGGAGTCCAGAGTGGCCATGACCTGACTGAGCTGGGGGAGAGTTGGGGGAGCCAGGTGCTGTAGCCAGGAGGTCAAAGGTACGAAAGGGGCAGGTACCAAAATGTCTGGATTATGCAGGGAAGAGCCCCTGGGGGAGGGGCAGCCCAGCCCCTGGGCTAGAGAGTTCAGGGTAGAGGACGGGTTATGCCTGCCATGCCCTGTAACAGATAGGGACTGAGGGATGCTGGGAGAACCTCGAGGCCAGGTCCAGCTGTGATGTGTTAGGTAGGCACCTCAGCTGCCTGTCCCTGGTTTGAGCTTCTAGAAGCTCCTGGAACCTTGTGGAGCCTCCCAGAACAGACACCATGTCCCTTTCCTGCTTTTGGCTTCTGTGGTTTGAGGTTGGCTCTTCTGACAGTCGTCCTCCGCCAGCCTGGATGTCACTGACAGTTTACTCAAAGAGGCTTTTTATAGACAGTTACAGTTCTTGGTGCTAGGGGACTTTGGAGCACAGCACTGGACTGTGAAATCACTTCTCTGGCTGCGGGTCCGGTCACTCCAGGATGAATTTCAGGTTTAGCCGAACAGCAGGAGAACCAGCTTCTGGGGAATTGACTACCCTTGGCTCCACAGAACCCATTTTTATTGTTGTGCGACTTACACCTTAGTGAGTCAGTTTCCGAGAACCAAAACCTCTTCTCGAGAGTTGAAGGATCCATCTCCCCAAGCGATTCTCAGTCAGGAGACCTCTTGGTTTTCCAAGTCCTCTCATAACTAAGTTTTGCAGAGGCTCTGTATCCTTCAGGAAGATCTCCGAGAAGAGACAGACAAAAGGGAGCGATCACAAAGGCAGTGCCCGGCCAGGCGCTCACACTCGGTGTTCAAGCCGGCTGCAGGGCTCTGCGGGACCTCTGGTTACAGCGGGTGCTTTCTGTTTTTTCTTTTTTAATTTTATTTTACGTTCATTGGTGTGAGGGTGTCGGATCCCCTGGAACTGGAGTTACAGACAGTTGTGAGCTGCCATGTGGGTGCTGGGAATTGAATCCTGGTCTTCTGGAAGACCAGCCAGTCCTCTTAACCACAAAGCCACCACCCCATCCCTAGTTTTTTGTTTGTTTGTTTGTTTTTGTTTTTGTTTTTTGAGACAGGGTTTCTCTGTGCAGCTTTGCGCCTTTCCTGAATCTCACTCTGTAGCCCAGGCTGGCCTTGAACTCACAGAGATCGGCCTGCCTCTGCCTCCCGAGTACTGGGATTAAAGGCGTGCGCCACCACCGCCCGGCTAGTCCTAATTTTTTTAAATGTAACTTTTCATTATGTTGCCCTGACTGGCCTGGAACTCTCTCTATAGACCAGGCTGGCTTCAAACTCACAGACCCACCAGCCTCTGCCTCTGAGTACTGGGATGCAGGCATGCACCATCACACCAGGCTTGCTATTTATTTATGGTTTCTGAGACAGGGTTTCTCTGTAGCCCTGGCTGTCCTGGAACACCCTCTGTAGACCAGGCTGGCCTCGAAGTCAGGGACCCACCTCGGCCTCCCAACTGTGCCGTTGCACCTGGCTAAGGCCCGCTGTTGCGGGACCTCTTCCTACGGAGCTGTGGGTGGTGTGTGTGTGTGTGTGTATGTGTGTGTGTGTGTGTGTCGGGGCAGTGAAGCCCAGCTGCCTGCCATGAGGTCACTTTGTAGCTATGTGGTTTAACTGAGCTGCAGTTTACCTGACACCAAGTTAACCTTTCAGTGTGCGCAGTTCTTCGATTTAGCCATCACTTTGTACAACAGTCATATTTTATTTCAGAGCCTTCCACCCCTGAAGTGCCCTCTGCCCTCCCTCCCCGGCCAGGTCTGATCTGCTTCCCTCCCTGACTGACATTTCCTGTCCTTGAACCACACGCTGTGTGGCCTGTGTGTCTGGAAACTCAGCCTCAACCACTTCATAGCGTGTGGGGGGGGCTTTCCTTGTACCGCCAGCTCCCTACCAATGACATGGAGACTTATAATTAATTATGAAAGCTGGGCCTATAGCTTAGGCTTGTTCCCAGTTAGCTCTTCTAACTTAAATTAGCCCGTTTATATTAATCTATGTTCTGCCACATGGCTCGTTACCTCTCCTCAATACCGTACATCTGACTTCCTCCGCTTCTGACTGGCAAATCTCCCACCTCAGATTCTTTCCCAGAGTTCCTATCTGCCTGGAAGTCCCGCCTATCCTTTCCTGCCTAGCTATTGGCTGTTCAGCTCTTTATTAAACCAAACAGAAGATGCTTTAGGCAGGTGAGAAAGAACAGACACATCTTCACACAGTGTACAAAAAGATCATCCTAACATCAGCGAGAATTTGTGTGTCTGTCTTTTTGGTGGCCGAGTAATATTCCAAATTGTAGCCTCCATACAAATGCCTCTGCTCAGGGGCATTTGTGTATTTCATTTTTTGGCTCCTGTAATGGGTGCCATGTTTGAACCCTTCCATTTTTTGGGGTTCATTTCCTAGGATGGAAAGTTAGACTTGTCTTTCTCTAACTTTTGGGGGTGCTGCCAGGCTTGCCCTGGCTCACACAATATCCAGTGTTTGCAGGGACTAGGTAGGACTGGCAGTTGATACCAAAGCTCCCCAGGGGCAGCTACGTCCCCATCTGGGGACGCCCCAGGGAGCCGTGGGGCCTGGTCCACGGAGGTGCAGGTGGCAGCTGATCACATGTTCTAAAAAGTTGCACAGAGTGAATAGAAGGTGGGTCAGTGTCCAGAACATAGAAAAAGGTCAGTCCCTGGTCACGTCAGGCTGTGGCTAAAATGGGGGGCTGGGCTTGGGATATTGGTGTACGTGTAACGAACTGTGGGGCTGCCCCATCACTACAGCTCACCATGGTGGGTGGGCCCCGGCCTGGCTGCCAGCCACACCCCCAGCCCTAATGGCCAGGGTTTTATTTTTAAATAATAAAAAAAAATTATTATTTCTTTGTGTGTTACTCCGAGTCAGAGTCTCTCTGAAGCTGGAACCCACTGGTCCAGCTCCTGTTTCCATTCCCCCAGTGCTGAGATCCCTACATACAAGTCACAGCTTTCTCCACAGGGGCTGGGTGTGCAGCCCGGGCACCTTACGTCTGTGCACCAATCACTTTACCACGCTGAGCCATACCCAGCCTCACAACCCAGTTATTTTTATTATCATTTTTTAATGTGTAGAAATGAATGGTTTGCCTGTTTGTATGTCTGTACCACATACCTGCCTCGTGCCCAGGGCCAGAAGAGGGCGTCAGATCCCCTGGAACTGGATAGTCCTGAGTCACCATGTGGGTGTTGGGAACCAAACCCGGGTCCTCTGCAAGAGCAGCCGGTGCTCTTTACTGCTGAGCCGTCTCTGCAGCCCCACAGAGGTGCTGAGAGGACCGAGGACTCCATGGGATGTCCCTACCTCCAGCTGGGCCTGGTCGTGCTCACAGCAGGGGACCTTTTGCAGTTTGTGGACAGTGACAACTTGATCACCAACCCTGACACTCTGAGTCTTCTCATCGCTGAGAACAAGACAGTGGTGGCCCCGATGCTGGACTCCCGCGCAGCATACTCCAACTTCTGGTGTGGGATGACTTCCCAGGTAGGTGGGGGCCGGGACAGACAGACACCTTCAGGGTGGGGTCTGCAGGTGTCCCCAACCCCTTCATTACTGAGGTTGGAGCAAGAGCAGAGAGAGACTGGCCCAAATTCACGTGGTGACCGCAAGGGAGTGGCTGTTCCAGGAGGGACCTTCAGGCGTGGCTCGATCCAGGTGTTCCAACAGACTTGGGCAACTGGGGAGGGACTCCGGCGGACCCAGCCATGTCCACTATGATCCGGTGATCACAGTAGAGAGCTGCTGGAGGCCACATGGCTCTTGGGGATGCCTGCTGTAGCTGGAGGCAGGCATCAGGGTGTGCACCCCACTGTGGGCTCCAGCACCCCCTGACCACCACCCCCAACTCCCACCGCAGGGCTACTATAAACGCACCCCTGCCTACATCCCCATCCGAAAGCGGGACCGCAGAGGCTGCTTTGCGGTTCCCATGGTGCACTCCACCTTTCTCATTGACCTGCGGAAGACCGCATCCAGGAGCCTGGCCTTCTACCCACCGCACCCCGACTACACCTGGTCCTTTGATGACATCATCGTCTTTGCCTTCTCCTGCAAGCAGGCAGGTGAGTGAGGCCGGGCACCCGGTGGCTGGGTGGGTTCAAACTGCACGGGTCCAAGAACAGAAGTGCAGAGTGCAGATGCCCTGGTCACAGCTGTGTTCAGGGAGGTCCTGCTGCAGCCCTGGGGCCCAGTGTCTCTGCAGCATGGCTGCCTGGACCGGCCTCGTCCCCCAGCTCCTTAAGACTCGTTGACCATCAGGTGTGAGGCTGAGTCAGGAGGATGGTAAATTCGTGGCACACACAGTGAGGTCCTGTACCAAACAACAAAAATAGACCTGCATGGTTGCTGTCTTCATCTTCTCCCAGGTGTGTGCGTGTGTGCGTGCGTGTGTGTGTGCGTGTGTGTGCGTGCGCGTGTGTGTGTGTGTGTGTGTGTGTGTGCTCGGTGGTGGGTGTGTGGATCGGGGGCCTCCCTCCTCAGTCTGCTCTGCGTTCACTTACTTGCGTGTGAACACCACAGCTCACATGTGGAAGTCGGAGGTCAACGTGCAGGCGCCAGTTCTCTTCACTGCGGGTCCTGGGGATGGAGTGCAGATCTTTAGACGTGGCTGCACCTTTAACCCCAGCACTCAGGAGGCGGAGGCAGGCAGATCTCTGTGAGTTCAAGGCCAGCCTGGGCTACAGAGCGAGTTCCAGGACAGCCAGGACTACACAGGGAAACCCTGTCTCGAAAAACCTAGAGAGAGATAGAGAGGGAGGGAGAGGAGAATCTGCTCTCTTGTGGGTGCCCCCCTCAACTGTGGCACCCTGACTGCTGAGAGCCTGATCCCACTTTTGTTTTTGAACACTCACAAATCAAAATCAGCTTTTACGTTTTTGAAGAGTGACCAAAATCTGAAATGAAGAGTAGTAACGTTTTGGCTTCAGTTGAGGAGTCCCGCAGCCCAGGCAGGTCTGCCGCTCACCATTGCGCTGCCTCCGTCCCAAGCGCTGGGGGGACGGCGTGCCCCACACTGCCTTCCCTCTTGTCCCGCTTCCAGAGGTGCAGATGTACCTGTGCAACAAGGAGGTGTACGGCTTCCTGCCCGTACCGCTGCGGGCGCACAGCAGCCTGCAGGACGAGGCGGAGAGCTTCATGCACGTGCAGCTGGAGGTCATGGGTGAGTCTCGCATGTACCCCACGGACAGAAGGGGTGCTGCTGAGTGACAGTCCTGTTCATGGGGTGGGACTCAGGAGGCTGAGGCCGAGGGATGGATCGCAGGCCAGCCTGGGCTACAGCTTGAAACCCCAGCTGAAAGACTAAAGTCAGGGTCGGTCCACCCACGCAGCATTTAGGGGACACAGTTGGGGTGACAGCAGCCAGTGTGAGCCTCACTGCATTTCTGCAAAGCTTCTGAGCGTGTGACTGAGGAGAGCAGGGGCTGGATGGCTCAAATCATCACGCATAATTCTGCAGTAGATATTGAGCACCTGCTGTATACCAAGCTCTGTGCTGGGCACTGAGAGTACAGTGTGAGTGGACAGACCCCACATTCCTTCCAAGATGTTAGAGGTGGAGTTAAGAGAGCAGGGACAGTCCCCTGAATCCAAGGCTGACACTGGGGGCCGGAAGAGGATCCTGACCAGTCAGGGGCCCGGAGGTTGCCCCGGGGTGTCATAGCTGAGGTCTAATTTGCTCTGGGCAGGAGTGTGGGCCACTTGGGAGCTGGTGCCAACAGCTGAGATGGGAGCATAGTCCAGTCGTACTGGGAGCTTGGAGGGATGGGGTCCTGCGACCCCAGCGACCCCAGCGACCCCTGCTTTCTTCCCTCAGTGAAACATCCGCCAGTGCAGCTGTCGCGATTCATCTCAGCACCCAGCAAGACTGCAGACAAGATGGGCTTTGACGAGGTGGGCTGGGCCCTCCCCCTTCACCCGGGACGGGGAGGCGGCCGTCTGACCTGGGGCTCACTGAGGCTTTGGCCACAGGTCTTCATGATCAACCTGAAGCGGAGGCGAGACCGGCGAGAACGCATGCTGCGGGCCCTGCAGGAGCAGGAGATCGACTGCCGGCTGGTGGAGGCTGTGGACGGCAAGTATGTCGCGTGTGCATGTGTGTGCATGTGCGTGCATGTGTGCGTGTGTGTATGTGTGCTTGTGTGTGTGTGCGTGCGTGTGTATGTGTGTGTATGTGTGTGCGTGTTTGTGCATGTGTGCGTGTGTGTATGTGTGTGTGTGCGTGCGTGTGCATGTGTGTGTGCATGTGTGCGCGTATGTGTGCTTGTACATACGGAGATATGGAGGGGATGGAGCCAACTCTGGCAGATCCTCAGACAGGCTGCCGAGTGGGGTGGGGTAGGGTGGGTGGTGGACTCAGACCCAGCCAGGTGGGGGCATTCACAGGCTGCAGAGGTGGGTCAGTAGACAGAGCTGCTTCTGCAGAACCTCTTACCTCACCCCTCCCTCCCCATCCTCCTCCCCATCCTCCCCATCCTCTTCCCCATGCCTCTTTCCTCCTCCTCCTGCTCCTCCTCCTCCTCCTCCTCCTCCCCCTCCTCGCCTGTTCTCCCTCCTCCCCATCCTCCTCTCCCTCCTCCCCATCCCCCTTGCTTTTGTCCCACCCTTGCCTTCCCTACCGTCCTCCCCCCCCCCTGGACCCGCAGAGCCATGAACACCAGCCAGGTGGAGGCCCTGGGCATCCAGATGCTGCCCGGCTATCGGGACCCCTACCATGGGCGACCACTCACCAAGGGAGAGCTGGGCTGCTTCCTCAGTCACTACAACATCTGGAAGGAGGTGGGTATCGCAGTGAGGCACCTGGCCTGCAGCCCTCAGTCTCCTCACAGCTTAGGTCAGGCCCAGAGGCCCAGGGAGGGACTGTGGCCCCCATGCTGCCGCCTGCATACCGCAGCAGGACCTGTGGCTGTCCCGTGAACTCTTCACGCGTTGCTCAGGTGCAGAAGACGGGCTGGGCGTGGCGGGGGCTGCAGGTGAGGCCTGGGGCTGTGATCCCCCAGCGAGACCTGCACTCCAGCCTGACTCCGCTGCCTGTTTCTGTAGACGTGATGGCCTCCGGCGTTAGTATCACTGGGCCATGTGTTAGGGAACAACAGATAATGATGTGCCGTGATGTCACGTGAGAACCAAACTTGGGACCTGCAAATTGGAAGCTGGATGGGTCGGGTGTTGACCCCAGATGATGAGGTACAGGAAAAGGGGTGCCTGGCTGCCCAAAGTAAAGGGTGCTTGTGTGGGCCACCCTTCTTTCCTGAAGTTCCTCATGGGCAGTCTGTTAGCTCCACTGGATGACAGTGAAGCCTCCTAGACCAAGAGGAAGGGTGAGAGGACCTGCTTGTTGTTTCCAAGAGGAAGGCTTCTTGATGTCACTGGCAAAGGTCCTGGGGCAGGAAGAGCCCCGGCAAGTGGGAGAAGAGAGACGTGGTGGGCAAACAGCCAGCTGTGGAAGGTCGGGATGCACATTTCCTCCTAACCAGCAGCTCGGGCTGGGTCTTTGTGACTCGGCGGGCCGCCCTCCTTCAGGTGGTCGACCGGGGACTAGAGAAATCACTTGTGTTTGAGGATGATCTGCGTTTCGAGATCTTCTTCAAGAGACGTCTGATGAACCTCATGCGGGATGTGGAGCGCGAGGGGCTGGACTGGGACCTCATGTGAGTTGGGGGTTGGTGGAGTGGGTGGAGATGGGACACCAGCCTGTGGTACCGGCCTGGGGATTGCCAGGGCTCAGAGGCACAGCCTGGCGCTCAGGGACAGAGCCTGGAGGATATCAGAGCTCTGCTCTCTGTTGGATTGACTTGGGTCCTGTCCAGTTTCCCTGTGCCCCCAGTCCTGCTCCTGAAGTCTGGGGAGCATTCTCTAGAAGGTGGGGGCATATAACAAGTCTGCGATTCTTCACCTCAGCTATGTGGGCCGGAAGCGCATGCAGGTTGAGCACCCTGAAAAGGCTGTGCCTCGTGTGAGGAACCTGGTGGAGGCTGATTACTCCTACTGGACGCTGGCCTATGTGATCTCCCTGCAAGGAGCTCGTAAGCTGCTTGGTGCCAAACCACTGACCAAAATGCTGCCTGTTGACGAGTTCCTGCCTGTCATGTTTGACAAGCACCCAGTGTAAGGAGTCTGTGAGGGAGTGTGTAAGGGGGGTTGGTGGCAGACGGTGGTCTTTGAGTCCCGGGAGATCAGGGCAGGGGACTGCTGGGCTCGGGCTGGGGGCAGTGGGCTGAGTCCTCATGGACTTGAAGGCTGTGTGTCTCCTGCCTCCCCTAGGTCGGAGTATAAGACCCATTTCTCTCCCCGCAACCTGCGTGCCTTCTCCGTGGAGCCTCTGCTCATCTATCCTACACACTACACGGGGGACAACGGCTATGTGAGTGACACAGAGACCTCGGTTGTATGGAATAACGAGCAGGTTAAGACTGACTGGGACCGAGCCAAGTCCCAGAAGATGCGTGAACAGCAGGCGCTGAGCCGCGAGGCCAAGAACTCAGATGTGCTCCAGTCCCCGCTGGACAGCGCTGCTCGTGACGAGCTCTGAGGCAGCTGGCAAAAAGCCGGGGACCGCCGGGGACCGCCGGGGGCCTTCGCGCACTTGCCCGGACTCCAGGGCCACCTAGGCAGACCGCCGCGGGCTCTGTAGCAGGCGGTTTCCATGTGTTCTTGCTCGGCCGCTACTTGCACATCGGCAGCATTAATGGAGTGCTTACTGTATGCCTGGGAACAGGGCTGGGCACTGGGAGACTGGGCAGGAACATGCCTATTCCGTCGTGTCCACCGTGAAGGAAGGTTTCTTAGAGTGTGGAAGAGGAGTAATGATCCTCTATCAGCGATGGAGTTGATCATCAGGCACTTATTGATCAACCTGAGTCAGATATTAGGGATACATACTCATTTTTAAATCTGTTGGAGTCTTTACTGAGGGCATACTGTGTATTGGGCACCATTCTTAGCTCTGGGAATACTGAAATAAGAAAAAATTCAGCATGCCAAGCACCTGCTAATGCCAGGTCTTGGGCAGCACTGAGTTGAATGCCTACTGTGTGCCACTCAGCAGGGGATAGAGGTCCCAGTGGTGCTCATCCCGTTAGTGGGCAGGATCGGCTTACAGTAGTCAGCATTGTTCCCCCCCTGTGCCGGGCTGCATGCTGAGTGCAGGGATGGAGAGTGGACAAGATTAGTTTCTTCATGTAACAAGCATTTATTGAGCGCCTACTGTGTGCCAGGCCTCGAGGACTCCAGCTGGGTTGAGGAATAGCTGCCCTTCAACCTGTCCGTGGAGGACGGCATCTTCCACTTGTCCAGAGGGAGGTTGCTCTCCTCACACTTGACTGCTGGGTTTCAGGGTACTCGTGGCCTTACAAGCCCCCCCGGAGGGGGCGTCATGGGAGCTGGGGCTCCCTTGCCCATGCCCGGCTTCCATAGCTTTTCCCTGCTCCTGTGTCTCAGGTGCCCCCTGCCTGCTCTTGTGATTTGGGGCCTTGAAGTGGCCCAGCTGCATTGGGGTGTTCCTCTTGGCCTTGGCAGTGTTTCCCCACAGGGCCAGGGGGTTGCGGTGCCTTCAAAGCCAAATCGAATGTCAGTGGGCAGCAGGTTTGGCTTGCCTGCTCAGATCTTGGTAACTTGCTCACATTCATATTAAATACTCCTGGTTGGTTTTCACCGAAGCCTGTGATCTTGCTGCCCTGAGTCCCTGGCCCTGCCAGTCAAGACTTGGGGGGACAGCGGGTTTTAGAGGCGTGTGTTGTACAGACTACTGGGCACTTAAGGTGTGGGTCAGGATGTATTGGGAATCCCATGTCCCCCCCACCCCATAAAGCACCCCTGGGAGCGTCTGGTGGATTGTCCAAGATGCTGTGGGGGCCATCACAGTCTGTTCCCAAGGAGACAGACGCCATATTGTTTGGATTATCAGAGTTCATGGAAGGATCCTGCCAAAGGGTGACAGCAGGTGCTGTGGACCTGGGACAGGGAGCTGGTCCCTGGTCCCGTGACAGAACAGGACCAAAGCAGTATGAAGAGGAACTCAAGGCAGGAGCCGGGAGGAACCTGCTGGCCAGTGGCTCCAGCTTCCGCTCAGCCTAGGCCCGCCCACTGAGGGACGGTGCCATTTTCCTGATAGCCATAAATCAAGAAGAACGTGCCCTACAGACATGGCCACGGCCATCACCCTGAGTAGAGATGACTGTTGGCTGGTGGAGCTGACAGCTAGAGACAGGACAGGCAGACGCCCCTGCACCAAGTGCTAGGACTTCTGGGCCAAATCCCACAGTTCTCAGGGTCCTAGGGCTCCAGCCTGGGGGGTTTGTAAGCTGTCACAGATGGTTGTGACCACTCTGACAAAGCTGCTCCTGCCACAGCTAGGCTGTGCACAACACTGAGTCATCTGAGCCTTGGTTGATTTGGGGTGCTGTGGATATGTTGGCTGGCCGAGTGATTACACTTGATCTGGGACAAGAAAAGTCTCCAGATCAGCCTGGTCTCCTGGTGTCGGTCTCCAGCTGCTTAGTTGGTGTGTTTTATTTAGTGTGGGCGTGGGCAGTGCACATGATACAGTGGAGGTCAGAAGACAATTCCCTGGAGTCTTCTTCCCTCGTGTGGGTCCCCAGAATTGAACCTTTACCTCCTGGGTCCTGGCTGAGGCTTTGCCAAAGGGGGCACAGAATGCCAGCCAGCACCCTGGCGCTGCTTTTCTTTTTTTTTTTTTAATGTTAATAAAATATTTTTTACAGAGACCAAAAAGGCAGAATAGTGCAAACATCTCAACACCATGCACTCATGAACACTCCCCGGGTGTTTTGTTTTGAACACATGTCCCAAGTTACAGATTGACTGAGAAATGGGGGTTTCTTGGAAGATGCTGGACTAACCGGGTGGACCTTAAAACCCTCCCAAAAAACAGGAAAGGAAAAAAAAACAAAAAACAACGCTTGGAATCCACATTTGCAGTCACATGCTAAGAAAGGCTAGTGGAGGGGCTCCCTGGGCTGCACAGCAGGGGTTGGGGTCAGGAGCTTTCTGGGGTACAGGGGACCTTCCTGTCACCTGCACCACCAGCGGTGTCAACCCAACTCACTCTAAAACAAAAGGCGAAGAGGAGGGGAGGTGGGTCCTTCCAGCCAGCTCTGGTCCTGAATGATGCTGGGGGTGGGCGGGGCCAGACCGGACCCCCCGGCTCCACCCCCAGCGAGGCCGCCCTTGGGACCCAATAGGTCTGAGGTCCCAGCTGAGAGAGGTCCCAAGGAGTTCTCGGTGCGTTTGATTTTTTTTTTTTTTTTTTGCATGTCTGATGGGGCAGGCAAAGCGACAGGCCTTGAGGCCCGAGAGGGACCGGGGTGCAGAGGGCGCCCCTCAAGTGCTGCCTCCTTCCAGACCGGGGTGAGCTGACCGAAGGGCCTTTTTAATTTTTCAGGGTTGGGGATGGAACTCAGAACAGTGCATGACTGGCAGGTGTTGACCACGTCCCGCCGCCTCACTGGGGGATTCTAAGTAGGGCATAAATGAGCCTGGACCCCAGATCTTTTCAGCTGCTCCGCCAGCCCCTCCTCTGTCTCCCCTAGCCCTGTCCCTCCTGTGGGCGGGGTTGTGGCTCTTTCCAGCCTAGTAAACTTCCTGTCCCTGACCTGTGGAGTCAGGAACTGCACCCCAGTGTGTTCTCATGCAGGATCCAGGAGCCTGGGTCTGCCGAGGGAGGCGGTGGGAAGGCAGACCGGCAGCCCTGGAGGAACTTCCTTGCTGGACATTGCTGTGTCAGGGATGGTCCTGAGATCAGCCTGTCCCTCTGCTCTGTCTCCATCTATTGTGTCCTGGGGCTCAGCCTGGACACCCGCTATGTATGTTGGGGGGATGTGTCAGGATGGGGGGAACTGTAAAGACAAACAAGCGTGTGGATGTGGGGTCACATGCAGACCCCTCAGCCACTCAACACATAATCCAAGTCAGCATGATTTTCCTTCTATTCTGCTGGGGAAGCTTGGGGTTCCCGTGAGGCCTCAGCCTGGAGTTGAGGAGACACAGAGCCAGGTACACACCCAGTGACATCAGGGCCAAGTCAGAGAAGGGGGCAAGAAGCTGGGAAGTCCTTGAAAAATTGCTTTTGTACGGGAGGGGATTTTTGTGATTGGTGTTGAAAGATGAATAGGTCTCTGGGTAAATAAAAGGAAATTTCAAACAGTCCTAGCCTGGACCAATCCACTCGACATTCCCATGTAGTTCCCTCAACATTCTGGGGCCAGAACACACACACACACACACACACACACACACACACACACACACACACAGAGAGAGAGAGAGAGAGAGATAGATTTGCCCTTCAGTCACACAAACCCCCACTTCACATTCTTGCCAGCAATTTAGAAACTTTCTGTGGCTGATCTCTGGCCAGAACCCTCCCCTTTAGCCACGTCTGACGTCCTAAAGTGTGAGTCGCTCCTCCCCAGCTCCAGTACCATCCGGACTGCCAGTCCCCCGACAACATACTACAGCATGCAGTCCGAGCTCCCCTGTCCCTGGATGGAGCCTGCATCCCACCCTTTGGTTCTGAATGCCCAGTCACCGATCGTGCCAATCAGAAAAGGGTCGTCCATCTGCACAAGCACAGGACACTCAAAATGCACGTTCACGGTCTCCCTCACAGGCTCCTAGTCTCTGGTCTCTTTCTGTTCTTTCCTGCTTGGATTTGGAGAACGGACAAGGGGTGGGGGCGCCTGGCTCCAGGGAAACCCCGAACCCCTCATCTTGACGGGACTCTAGGTTCTAGGCGGGTTCGGACTGAAGTCCCAGGAGGAAGGACAGGGATCTTGTTTGGCAGCCTGAGGATTCACCGGGATCCCTGGCCCGGGGGCCCTGGGGAAGAATTGGGGAGAAGGGTATTTAGCAGCGATGGGGGCCGGGCCATCCGTCGGCGCTCAGCCCACCGTGCGTGGCACGAGCAGGGGTCTCCAGCTGCCAGTGGGTGCGCTGCGCTGAGGGCCGGTCCGCGTGGAGGGGCGCCCTCAGCCCCAGGTGTGCGCCGAGGGAGGGCGCGTGTGCTTTTGAGAGCCCATCCGCACTTTTTTGCAGACACCACAGGCTGCGTCCCGGCCTCCCAGGCAGCCCTGCCAGCCCATGCCCTGGGCACCGGACCCTCTATGGCTTTTCCAGGGGCAGGAGGCAGGGCCTCCCCAGCCAAGGCCACTGAGGTGGAGGGGCGTGGCCTCTGGAGAGGGCGGGGCCTATGGGGCGGGGCCTTGTCCGTGCCCAGGCCCCGCCCCACCCTAACTCGCGCTAGGGCGCAGGCGCGGCCCCGCCCTCCTCGGCCGAGCGCGTGTCCGATTTGAGCTTAACGAACTCCTTGGCCACCTCGTCGTTGCTGCGCTGCGACAGGATGCGCAGCACCGTGAGCCCCGTGTCGTCCATGTGGATGCGGCGGCCGAGCGGCAGCCAGCACGCGGCGCTCCCGCGCTGGGCCAGCTCCCGCAGCTGCAGCACCGCCAGCCCCACCGTCCGGTCCTCGCGCGCGAAGCAGTAGTCCTTCACGCACACCTGCAGCTCGTAGCACTCGGGGCCCGCGTCCGAGCTCAGGGAGCTGTGGGGAAGGACCGGCCCAGCCAGGGGTCACCAGCGAGCCCGGCCCCCCGCGCCACCGCGCCCAGGAGGACCAGCCGGCGAGCCGCTCGCGCCACGCGCCACGCACTTTAGCATTTAGTGCCCCTCGGAGGCGGGCGAGCAAGCCCCTCGCACCTCGCTGGCCCCTCCTACAGGGAGCCCCACCCCCCCAACTAGGCCACGCCCGCTCGGGAACCCCCCGCTCAGACGGGATGGTCCCAGCGCATCACGTGGGGCGGGCTGCTAGGGGACCCCACTGCCCACTGAGCTCGCCCAGCCCTGGAGCTCCAGTCCGGGCCCCGCCCCCCCTCCGGCCCCCTCCTCGGCCGAGCCCACCCCTGTCGCTTGACGGCGCCTCTTCTTCCTGGCCACGCCCCTTTCCAGGCGGTGCGGTGCCTTCTGCTCGGGTCTCTCCAGTCCCACCCGTCAGCCCCCAGTAGCCCCAGGACCCCACCCTGCAGCAAGGCACACAACCCTCAGAGCCGACTTCTTTAAATGACAAAGCCAGTGGCCGGAGCAGTCCGGGACCCCTTGTGACCTCACTCCTGTGCCAAGACCCTCTTGCCCACCTTCCGTTCGTCCTTTCTGCCCCAACCCCAAGCCTAGGACGTCCCCAGGGACCTGCCTGCCTCACCTTGACCCTACAGTCCCCTCTACATCACCCGCACCTTGGGGTGGCCCCTCCCACCAGCCCTCGCCCCCTCCAGTGACGCCCTCCACTCACAACTGGAAGCTCTCGTTGTATTTGGGTGCCCAGCTGTTGTTTTTGGATTTGGTGGCGAACTTGCGTTTCTTGTCGCTGAGCTGAGGTCCAACAATGTTGACCTCGATGAAGGGACGGAAGATGCCGGAAGTCTGCCACTTGAGGTCGTTGGCAGCCACCACTGTTGGGGGTAATGGGGAAGTCTGGTGAGGGTTCCCAGTGGGACAGAATGATACTCTGGCTTCCCGGGTTGAGGAAACAGACTCCATTCCCCAGGAAGTCTCTCTAACAGGAGGGAAGCCAGGCCAAGACTGAGGAAGACGCAGTAAGTCCTGGGACGCGGTTGGAATTCCTGGTGCTGCCATGCCTGAAGCAGTTTGCCTCAGGATTTCCCCGTTTTCTATATCATTAAAGGAAAAACAATTCCCTGACCCCTTGGCTTAAATGAGACTGTATTTGGTTCCCTCCCTCATCGGGCCACTCACCCTTCACTGTGACTTTCTGTTCCCCAGTTCCCGGGTGCGTGAACAGCTCCACGTGGACGGACACTTCACCTACAGGGTCTTCCACACCCGAGCCTGGGTGGGACAGGGGAAGATGCCTGATATGAGCTCCGTTCTTCCTCACCCACCCGGAGGGACCTCAGTCACCTCCCTCCACCACCATGTGCTGGCGGTACCAGGTCACCGAGGCCCTGAGGGCACCAGGGTGGCGGGTGCCACTGGGAAGCCAGGAGTGCTAGGCTGTGGGGTTCCATCGCTTCGCTGTGTGACTTGAGTCAGGGCATCTGCCTTATTGTCCCCTCGGCTCTCCCGCCTCCTGCGCCTGCTTCTCTCCACTGAAGGCTGCTGCCTCACGCCGGCTTTTCCCCCTTTCCCCTTCTGTGTCCATCCAGTTCCCGTGAGCTCATTCTGGCCCTGGGTGCTGGGACACAGACGAGTCCTGACCTCGCTGTCTTCAAAACACATCTGGAATCTACCGGGTGTGTCTGCCCGGACCTGGTCCAGCTCTGCTGACTGGCCTGGGCTATCGCAGTGTGCGCTCCCCTGGTTGGCTCTCCTCCCTCCCAGCCACACTCAACACAGTAGCCAGAGTCGGTCCAGCAAGCCCCATCCTCCCCTGCTCACAAGCCTCCTCGGCTCATTGGGCCACCGAGTCCTTCCGGCCCTTTGCAGGCTCCTCCCCAGTCCTCTGAAGTGACGCTTCGGTGGCCTGCCTCCTGCCTCCTGCCTGCTGTCCATTTCCCACTGGGAAGCGCTCAGGGGTGATCAGAGGGCCACAGCCCTCCCAACAGAGCACTTCCTGCCCAGGCCGCAGGGACTGCCCTGGGGTCATGTGACCCAGGCCGGGCTTTAGAAACTCAGTCCCAGACTTTGTGAACTGGCCATAGGGGTCTCCAATGAGACCAACTGACCAATGGCATTGGGGGCCTAAACCCAGCTGTTTCTGATGCCAACAAACCCTAATCTTAGTTTCTAGCCAACAAATGTATCTGCGTGGTAGCCATGCGTATGGCTCTTCCCAATCACCATTAAGTGTCATGGGGACTATGATGGTGACCCGTGAGTGGTCAGCTTAAAAACTACTGCCTGGACCATCCCCTACCCCTGATTCAGAAGCACGTCCACAGGGCCTGTGGACCTGTGACCGCCAGCACCCCACCAAACTGCCCCATCCCCAGGCAGCTCCCCACTCCTGGGGACCCCATGCATGGGCATGGCAAGGAGGAGGATGTGGGAGGCAAGGGGATCGGGCCAGTCCGTCAGGTTACCTGTGCTGGACGGGAAGTGATAAGGGTCAGGGAACGGGGTACGGGACTCCTGCGCCCCAGAAGAGGGGCACGTGGCCCCAGCACTGTCCAGCCCAGGCGGCCACCCGCATCATCTCAGATACCTCCCAGTCACATGCTCAGCCCCCTCCCCCCAGGCCGATGCTTCAGCAAGCTCAATCCGGGCCAGAAGTGGGGTGCTAGGGAGTTAGACATGATGGGTTATGTAAGAGGTCAGATCGCGGCCCAGGCTAGTAAGAAGGGGAGGCAGTGCCGGCCCCCACCCCAGTCTTGCTGGCTCCACCAGGAAGGGCTGTCACAGGCCTCACCCTCGCCCCCCATGACCCGGGTTTCCTGGCAGGAGGCTCATCCGACCCCCAGGCTTGGGAAAGCTGGGGAGGCCGCGTGTTCTTTTTGGGTGGGGGTGGATGTGTGGCCAAGGCTGGCTGGAACTTGTGACCCTCTGGCCTCAGCCTCCCAAGTCCAGAGACCACAGGCCTGTGCCACGAGGCACGCCTGGAATCGTCGGGGAGGAGGGGGCCGCAGAGTGGCCGACCCAGGATCTGAGAGCAGGTCTTTGTTCAGTATTTTGCGCTTTGCCGGGCATGGAAGCTGCCCACCCAGCCTGGGTGCGTGCGGCTTGGGAGAAGGGACGGGACTCCTTCCCCGTGTGGAGCCAGCAAGCCGCCCTCCGCCGTGTGCCAGGACGCGGCGCCCGGCGCGGGGAGGCCGGTGTCTTACTAGCCGGGCAGGGGAGGGGCGCAGGCACCGGGCACCGCGTGCGGGTGGCGGGCGGCGCAGGCACGTACCCATCTCAGGACAAACGTCTTCACTAAGGGTAAACCTAGTCCCCTTTCCACCATGGACTGACCAAGGTGGACAGGGAGGGAGGAGGAGGAGAGGAGGGAGGAGTGTGCATGGCGGGGGCGGGGGGAGGCGCAGAAAGGGGACAGCGAGTGACAGGGAGGAGAACGAGAGAGAGAGAGAGAGAGAGAGAGAGAGAGAGAGAGAGAGAGAGAGAGAGAGAGAGAGAGAGATAGGGAGGGGAGAGAAAGAGAGAAAGAAACGTCAGTGCAGACGGACGGACAGACAGACAGCCTCCCACTCTGGGAACACAGGGACACTAAAAGCAGCAAGAACAGGAGGGGAAACTGAGGCTTGGGCCCCACCCGCTGTGCTTGGGGGGTGGATGACGACCTTTCCCGCTCCAACCTCTGCCCAGCTGGCACCTTTGGAGCAATTCTGAAGGGGGGGTGTCACCAGGGAGGGGTGCCAGGACCCTGGAGCCCTGCCTGCCCTGTGGCCTCAACTGCTGCACAAGAGCTCAGACGGGGACAGAAGCAAGACACAGACAGAGAGAAGGGTGGGAGATCCGAGGCCCAGCACCTCGCAGGCCCCCACAGCTCCCAGGTCCAGGTACTTCCGCCTCTGGGACCTGACAATCATTCCACGTCGACACGGCGGACGCCCCGCCCCTAAGGAGGCCGCCGGGCCTTGGATCGTGACATCAGAGATTTCACCTAGAGCTGTCAATCATTCCTCACTCTAAAGGCATCACAGAAGTCCCGTCTCGGACAAGGTGCCACCCATCACTCAATGGCTCCAGGACATTAGAAGTCCCGCCCCTCGAGGACAGTCGCTTGGTCGCCCTACAAGCTGCCTAACAATTCCTGGCCCCTGGAGTCTGTGCGGCCCGCCCCACAGCTGTCAATCACCCCTTGTTCCTTTGTCTTGACTCCTGCTGGCCCGGAAGCGGAGTGCCGGGTACCCTTACCCTGCGAGGACTGCGTCTGCACGAAGGTTTTGATGAGCAGGTCGGTGGCCTGCGTGTAGAGCGACAAGGCGTAGCGCAGGGACTGGAGGTCCGGACTCTTCTCCAGGAAGGTCTTCTTGAGGCCCACGCCCCCCGCGTGGAAGTATTGCTGAGGATGGACGGGATGAGGCTGCTGATCTCAGCGCCTCGGCTAACACCGTCCTGGGCTACACCCGCCGCGGCTGCCACGGGCCCTCCCTGCCCACTACCCTCCCTGCCCACTACCCTCCCTGCCCACTACCCTCCCTGCCCACTACCCGTTTACTTTACCTTGTAGACTCATGCATTCCCCAAACCTGCTTCCTCGTGCCCTCTCTCACCTTGATGGTGTCCAGGGCCAGTTCGACCACCGCGCACTGCTTCGGGGTGAGACTCTTGGCTTCTTCACGTACCATGTGATCCTATGTGGATGGCAGGGAGGGGTCGGGTGAGCAAAGCTGACGCCAACTTTGAGATTGTGAGTCTTGAGCGTCCACGTTGGGGATCAAATGATCTGTTCCATAGATCAAACTGAATCTGATCGCGTCTTTCCGAAGGGCATTTGAAGTGGTGTCCGGTCCGGGAGCTGGGATCTTGTGTACTGGCCTGTCCCTAGCCTTCCCCGTGATCCTCGACCCCCTCACCTTGAGTTTGGACAGCTGACCCAGCTCCTTGGCGGCATTGAAGATCATCTGTGTTCCCTGTGGGAAACAGAGACAGTGGGGTAATGGTGTGAATTTTCTAAATGGTTCCCCCACCCTGAGCGACCCCCAGCCTGTCTGCCATCTTGGTTCCCGTCCAAAGGGTCAGGAGCCTCCCAGCGAGATCTCGAGCACGTGGCCACCTGGTCCCTGGAGAAGCGGGGTTCCATGGGAACACTGTCCACACACACTCTTCATACCCACCGGGGCCCCACAGTTGGAAGACATAAGACAAACAGGCGTGTGTGTGGCATGTGTGGTAGTGGTGAGGGGAGGCACCCTGGGGTGGGACTGCCTTCCCCTTAGCCACCCCTCTGTGGTGATTCCACTCTGTCAGGAGGACTCCTCACACACTGGCGTCTGCACACACACCCTTCCCTGAGGCACCCACCAGATGGCAACTGTGGCAGGCCTAGGTAAAAATCCCAGCTGTGCAGCCCCAGACAGGTGACTCAACCCCTCTGAGCCTGTTTCCCCCCACAGATAGGGGAATCATGGCCACCCGGTGGCCCTGAAGGGACAGGGATGTGATACGTCTTTGGTGACTTGGTTGCTATCTTGGTCTCATCACAGGCAACTCATGGCAGACTGGGTTCCAGCCTGGGAGTCAGGGTTGAGCTGGGCGGCCTCAGACAGGTGCCTGGCCCTCTCTGGGCCTGGTCTCTTCCCAACTAATTAGCAATTTGTTGAAAGGAGTGCTGCCCCAGGGCGTTCTGGTTGGGCTGTTCAAGGCCGGCCTGACTTTGGAGACTGCTTTGTTTCTGCTACCTCAGGCTGTACTGTGTGTTATTCTGTCCTGCGGGGGTGGAGGCCCAGACCTTACACACACATCAGGACGGAACCCAGAATCAGGGCCGATGAGCTCATCAAGCGTCCGCAGCGCCACACACCCCAGCCCCATAGTCTCAGGATCCCCTGAGGCTGTGAGCCAGAGTTACCGGAGCCCAGCTGTCTGGGCCTCAGTTTCCCCTGTTGCACCCACCTGTGCTCTGCTGCAAAGCAGGGTCCCTCTTGAGCATCCTCCTCGCCTCCCACTGCCCTTCCCTACCCACCCACAAGCAAGCCAGACAGACAGAGGAAGAAGAAATAACAGACAGGGCCACAGGACGCCCCCGACGGCACGGACCACAGAGTGGAAGGGGCAGGGAGGGAGAGGGATGGGGTGGGAGCCAGACAGACAGTGAGAGGCTGGGCTTACGTCTGAGTGGCTTGGCAGTTTCACCCTGCCCTGTGGAGAGAACCAGGCGGAGGTCAGAGTTCTGGCGGCTGCTGGGAGGATACTCAGTGGGACTTCCCTACCCCCTAGCATCATGTCTGAGCTCCCTCCCAGTCACTGAAGCAGACACTCGCTCCCCAGCTAAGGCACTTGCCCTTGTCCCTGAGGGTGGACTCCTTGGCCACGGCACATGGGGCCCGCGAAGGTGGCAACCCCGCAGAGCCACGGGTGCTTGTGGCACGTGATGAGAAGTCAAGGAAAGAGGACTCCAGGTCTCTGCACACACCCCGCATGCACCAAGCCTTCGCTGGGGAGGCCTGACCACGGAAAACGCCCTGATAAACCTACACGCTCTAAACTCGTTCACTGTGGACACACGCATGCTCACACATGTGCACACACAGACTGGCTCACACAGACACACTCACACAACACACAGTCAAGCACATTCACACACACACAAAGACACATGGACGCTCACACACATACATACACACGCTCATACAGACACACGTTGCTAACACAGACAGACACACACAGACAAGGTCACACAGACTCACATGCTCACACACATACACACACTCACACAGACATACATGCTCACATATGCTCACACATGCTAGCACAGACAGACACACAGACAGGCTCACACAGACACACATAGTCACACACATGCGCGCACACACAGTCAAGTACATGCATGCACATAGAGATACATAGTGAAGCACATGCATACACACACAGAGACACATACACATGCTCGAGTGAACACACACAAGCTCCTTCAGTGTGGACACACAACACTCACACATGTGTACACACAGACACATGCATGCTCACACACACTCACAGTCAAGAACTTGCATGCACAGAGATGCACTCTAGACCTTCAGACAGCTTCTGCAGATACTCAAAACCATCAAAAATCATCAAATCACACATGTAGGAGGCTCACAGGCCAGAACACACATGTTTTGCATGATCACATTCAGACTCACACATCCTTGACTGTACACAGATGCATACATGGGCACAGCCCTGGAAAGCTGTCTGGGGAGTGGGATTGCCCTATGCTCCAGTCATGACGCAAACATCCATTGAGTGCAGAGAGAGGCCTGATGCATCCTGTGTGAGCACACAGTCAGTCACCAGCTGCCCACAGCCGCCTCCTTATAAGCAACAAAAACCCAGGAGTGCAGGGCCATGAGGGTGTGGCCCCTGGAGGCCACAGACCCCGGGATCCTGGGGCTGTGCACACTCCAGACTCTGGAGAGTGACCTGAGCTCAGCTTCCAGTTCCTAGGGGCAAGACCAAGAGCCACCCCCCCACTGTGGCCTCAGCTGACCTTTGCATGAACTACGGGAGCACTCACACCCGACACCGACCCAAAAGCCGCGGCCTCATTACCTTTTCTAGGCCCTTGCCATGTTTTCTCAAGAGGGTGCCCTGCAGAGACAGTGTCACAGCGAGGTCAGGACCCAGGCGCATCACACTCGCCCATGTGGGGACCGGGGTGAGGGTGGGGTGGAGGTGGGGAGGGCACTGCACTAGCTAGGGTTGGGGAAGGCTGGGGGACTGTGGGGGCTCACTCTTAAGAGAGGGGGAGGGGAAAGGAGGAAGCCAGAAGAGGGAGGATGGGGAAGAGGGAAGAGACAGACTAAGGAAAAAGAGGGAAGAGGGTGGGAAGCAGGGAAGAGGAGGGAGAGAAAGAAGGGGAAGGGAGGGGAGAGATGAAGGAGGAGGAGGAGAAAAGAGAGCCAGAGCCAGAGAGAGTCCAAGGTAAAAGCCACTGTTAAAAAATAAGCCATTTATATTTGGTGTACAAAGGAACCCACCGGACCCCAGGTTAGCATTAGCACCCCACCCCACACTGAGATCCGAGCCTGGGCCATCTCTAGCACACGCTTGTGGCCTGAGCCAGGTAGCTTCTCTCCCAGGCTCGACTTTCCTCATCAGACTGATTCGATTGAGACCTCGTGTCACGAAGGTGAGCTGCGACAGACACTGGCTTGCCGCAAGCTGTCGGTATTGTGTGTTCCTTTATGCTCTGCCTACAACTAGAACCTGGCACTGGGCATGATGCCATGAGGTGGCTACAGACCCCAGGCTGTGCCCACTGGAACCTGAGCTTGAGGCAGTAAAATGTCACGGTGGCCTTGCCTGGCCCACAAAGGGGTGTGGGGATGGGTTTACTGAGGGTCTGAGGCCACTGGCGAGCACTGTACGCCTCGATTGCTCCCTTTCACTCTGGCAGCTCAGAATCCTGGTACGGACCTCCACTTCCCATGCCAGGAAACGGATTCTCCCAGGTCACAGTCTGGGCAAAGCTGTGACACCCAGACTGCCTGGCAGCATGGCCGTATCTCCCAGCTGGGCCTCCAGATGTGTTGGTGTGTGTGGGGGGCACTAGGGGAGTCACGGGGCACACTGAGAAGACAGCATGGCGAGATCTGCATGCGAAGGGAACACCCCACCCCGCGCCTGTCTACCCCTGAGACTGGGTGGCTTGGGGACAGGACGGGGTACAGGGTCGGACGTGACAGAGTTGGCTGCCCAGTGATGTAGGCCCTGCCTCCGAGTCTGGGAGGGGCGTGGTCTCCCAGCCCCACCCCTCTCGATGCCCCACCCACCAGCACACAGATACAAAGTCAGGGTGAGGGGAGGAGCGGGCACGGGTGGGGGCGGCCCCAGTCCAGACACACAGCGAAAGAACAACGAGGATGGACAGACAGACGGACAAACGGGTCTCTACTTACAATCATCTGCCAGCCGGAACGGGGGCAGGGTGGGGAGAGGGGAATAAGTCACTGTGAGTGGCCCCGGGAGGGCCCAGAGCCGCCGGAAGGACACTGAGGCACCGACAGCCCCCAGCCCTGGCCCCGCCCAGAGGATCACCTGGCTGAGGCCTCTCCACCCTCCTCCACCGGTGACCCCGCCAGGGCTACCCAGCAGCCAGCCCCGGGCCCTCAGCCTTACGGTCCCCTGGAAGACACACCCAGCTCCCCACCCCAGATGTCCCCGAGCTCCCTGCCTAGAAGTCAGGGAGACACCAGGCTTGTGATGGCCGCAGACTCTGACGGGCTCTGGTGGCCCTCCAATCGTCCCTGCACGCCTGAGCGACCTCTCTGAACCCTGGTGTCACTGTCCTGGCCCCCGTCTTGGAGGCACCACGTTCCCTGGGCTCCCCTCGCAGTGTCCCTCGCGTGTCCTGGGACACGAGTCTCACCGTCTGGTCTGTGAGCGGCGGCAGGACGATGGTCTTCTCCATGGTGTTCATCACGAGCTTCCACAGCTCCTTCAGCACACGCTTCAGAACCGTCTTCTCACAGATTTTGGCAAACAGGGTAAGGCTGGGGGTGAGGCTGGCGTCAGGGGCGGGGCCCGGGCCCTCCCTCCGGGCGCAGGCGAGGGCTGGCGGGCGACCACGCATGGCGTGTGCAGGGAAAGCAGACAGGTTTGGGGAGAAGGGGGAGGCTATGGCGTGTTCGAGTCAGACACTCCAGGATGCTCAAACGGAAGGACGGAAGGACGCTGCGGGCAATCAGTTCTCCTCCCCGGGGAGGGCGCAAGGGGCTGAGGTCACGCCAAGGACAGACAGGACGGGCAGGAGGCGAGTGAGGAGCGGGAGGGCAGACAACTCATGACGGGACTCAAGGGGCTGGAGGAGGGGTAATCTGCCAGCGTGCATTTCCCAGAAGACCCCTCACCTGCCAATCACGGCCCCAAAGTGACCACCACTATTCACAGCCCATGCACCATCCACCCTACCACCCACACTCACCCACCCTACCCACACACTCACACTCACCCACCCTACCCACACACTCACACTCACCCACCCTACCCACACACTCACACTCACCCACACACCCACACACTCACACTCACCCACACTCACCCATACACCCACACTCACCCACCCTACCCACACACTCACACTCACCCACACTCACCCACACACCCACACTCAACCCACCCCTACCCACACACCCACACTCACCCACCCTACCCACACACTCACACTCACCCACACTCACCCATACACCCACACTCACCCACCCTACCCACACACTCACACTCACCCACACTCACCCATACACCCACACTCACCCACCCTACCCACACACTCACACTCACCCACACTCACCCACACACCCACACTCACCCACCCCTACCCACACACCCACACTCACCCACCCTACCCACACACTCACCCACACTCACCCACACACCCACACTCACCCACCCTTACCCACACACCTATACTCACACACCCCTACCCATCCACTCACACTCACCCACCCCTACCCATCCACTCACACTCACCCACCCTACCCACACACTCACACTCACCCATCCCTACCCACACCCACACTTACCCACTCACCCACACTCATCCATCCCTACCCACTCATCCACACTCACCTATCCCCTACCCACACCTACATTCACCCATCCCCTACCCACATGCACACCACTCACCCATCCCCTACCCACACACCCTACCCACACTCATCCATCCCCTACCCACATGCACACCACTCACCCATCCCCTACCCACACACCCTACCCACACTCATCCATCCCCTACCCACACCCACACTCACCCATCCCTACCCACACACCCACACTTACCCACTCACCCACACTCATCCATCCCTACCCACTCACCCACACTCACCCACCCCCTACCCACACACCCACCCCCTACCCACACACCCAGTCATGCACTCATCCGTCCATCTTCCCAGGACCTGTCCACCCACAGTTTTAAGCGTCTGTCCTCCGTCCACCCTTGTAAGTATGTTGTCACAGGGCCTGCCTCGCCCTCACGTCATCCATCTTGTGCTGCCCTCCAGCCACAGGAGCAGCTACTCAGGAATGACAAGTCTGCTCCCCCAACCTGAGCCCCCAGCCCGACTCCCTCTCCACCCTTACTTGCTGTCCAGCAGGTCCATGATGGGCTGTAGCACGTTGTCTGCATCCTGGGCCACGCTGCTGCAGGCGCTGGCAGGCACGTTGCCCGTGCCCTTCACCTGGCTCAGGATGTCACCCATCTGTTTGACACACTCCTCGATGTGTGGCTGGAAGCTGTGGGCACAGTGGAGAGGCGCTCAACCAGGGCTCTGTGTCCCAGAGAGTGGCCCTGAGGATCTGTGGCCTGGGTTCCTGTCCCCATCACCGGGAGTTCTTTCACGGTCACTGGTGACATCTTCACTAAGGCTGGATTGGTGAGGGACACACCTGAGCCACACAGCCAGGCCATGGGAAAGCCAGATGTGAGCTCCCACTTCTCCTGACTGAGCCTTAACTGCCCCGGTGTGAGACCGAGCTGCCCAAGGCTCAGGGTCCCCGCCCAGCGATGCCCCCACCTGGTGGCGAACACGTGGCTGAGCTCATCCAGGACGTTGTTGAGTTTCACCTGCAGCTCCTTCAGGGTGCCGCTGGCCTCGGCGTCCAGCTGAGGGGAGCAAGGTCCTTAACACATGCCTGCTTTTTCACGTCCCTGGGAAGGTGTCTGAGGGGCTGGGGAGGAAACTGAGGTACAGGGAGCCAGGTCTCCCCGGTGGGTTTGCCGGCACACCCAAGCCTGCTGTCCCCGATCTCAGGGGCTCATGGCGACCGGGTGAGCGCCTCAGGCCCCATCACTCACCTCCTTCCCACCCATCGCCTCAAACATCTTCTCCAGCTGCACCCGTAGCTGCTGGGTGTTGTTCATGAGGATGCAGGGCTGGGGAGAGAGAGTCAGGTGACTCCTCACCACTCCTGGGGAATCAGGAAACTGGGGTCCCCTAGGGGGTGGGAGTCAATAGCCCTGGACATGCATGAGCTGGGGGGGAGGGTCCCTTGGGCCAGATAGGGGAGGCTTGCAGGAATGTCCCCCCGGGACACAGGCCGGGCCAGGTGGGTACCACAGAGGAGTGGGAAGTCCTTGGGGTCCTCCTGCCTCTGCTGATAACTGCTGACGCTACACCCTAAAGGCTCCGCTGGAAACAAAGTCATGGGGGAGCATGTCCTCACCCTCATGTGCTCACACAGGACTCCCCCAGACTCACAGGCTCCAACACAGACAAGAACACATTTGTGACCCAGTTCCCAACCCAGCTGCACAAAACAGAGAGTTGGGTACAGAGACACACAGCTGTCACCCCGGCACTCAGAAGGTGAAGACAGGAGATTGGGGATTCAAGGCTAGCCTGGGCTACACTGCTACCTGGAGCTGAGCCTGTGATGAAAGTTGAAGGCCACTTTGGCCTACATAGCAAGATTGAGGCTAACCTGGGGTACATAGGAAGCTCAAATCCAGCCTGGGCTCCACTTTGAGAGCTTGTCTTAAAAACCCAACCAGGCAAATAACCACCACCACTGCCACCAAACGCCACACTATCAGACCAGACACCAGACTGCGCCAGTCAACACCATGTCCCTCAGCAGAATCTGGTGCCCTAAACCTCATGTCATAGCTTGGGGTAGGAAGGGACCCCTGGACCCTGAGGGAAGCTGAGTGGGGTGAGGAGGGCTGGGGTTGGGTGGGGTGGGGTGGGACGGGGAGGGGAGGGATGGGGAGGGGAGGGGTGGGGAGGGCTGGGGTTGGGCGGGGTGGGATGGGGTGGGGAGGGGTGGGGTGGTGAGGGGAGGGGTGGGGTGGGGAGGGGAGGGGCAGGGTGGGGAGGGGAGGGGCAGGGTGGGGAGGGGTTGGGTGGGGTGGGGTGGGGAGGGGTGAGGAGGGGTGGGGAGGGGTGAGGAGGGGTTGGGCGGGGGGCGGGGTGGGGAGGGCTGGGGTTGGGAGGGGTGGGGTTGGGAGGGGTGGGGTTGGGAGGGGTGGGGAGGGGTGGGGAGGGGTGAGGAGGGGTTGGGAGGGGCGGGGTGGGGAGGGCTGGGGTTGGGAGGGGTGGGGCGGGCTGGGGCGGGGTTGGGAGGGGTGGGGTTGGGAGGGGTGGGGATGGGTGGGGCGGGGCGGGGTGGGGCGGGGCGGGGTGGGGCGGGGCGGGCCCCCGGTCACCACTTTCTCTTTCTCCTTGGAGCAGTAGGAGGCGAAGTCCTTGGAGACGATGTCGGCGTACTGCAGAAGCACATTGCTGATGGTCTGAGGGACACAGACACAGGTGAGGGGCTGTGGTCTCGGGGACCCTGCTACCAACAACATCCACTGTAGACACTCAGGTGACTTTGTGCTGCACAGTGTGTGGGGTGGACATCAGGCGGGACGGCTGTCCATCCGGTGACCACCAGCACACAGAGGAGAGTCCGTCCCCCGGGAGGACTGTCCACTCTAGGGTAACTCCCGGGTTTTTTGAGACAAGGTGGCTGAGGCAGGCCTCAAACTCTGATCTTCCTGCCTTGGTCTGCGTTACATACAAGCCCCACCATCACCCACGAGCCCTGCTCTGCTCTGAAGGAACCAACCGTGGTATTAACCTACTCCTGATCACCAGTGTGACCACTCCTGATCCCATGCAGAACCCAGATGCCAGCCTTTAATCCCCAGCTAAAGCACCATCCAGTCAAAGCCAACCGGAGCCAGCTTGGTATACGTGAGCCCCGACATCGGAGAGCCACACGGCAACTCAGAACTCGGCCTGCAGCCCCAAGCCCAACCCCATTATCCCAAACTGGAACACTCACCTCCCCAACTTTCTGATTTCCTTGGAGTGATAATTGCTTTTTTATTCACATTTGTTATTTTTGTTTTGTTTTATTTAACTTTTCTTTGTGTGGTGCTGAGGATTAGACCCCGGGCCTCGAACACACTGAGCTACACGCCCACCTCACAAACATAGACGTGGTCTGTGTGTATGTGTGTGTGTGTTGTGTGTGTTTTATGTGTGTGTGTGTTTTTTGTGTGTGTGTGTATGTGTGTGTGTGCGTTTGTTTTCTCTGTGCAGCCCAGGCTGTCCTGGAACTCACTCTGTAGACCAGGCTGGCCTCGATCTCAGATCCACCTGCCTCTGCCTCCGGAGTGCTGGGATTAAAGGGGTGCCACTATCAAGCCCAGCTAGATTTTTTTTAATTTAAGTAATTTGTGTGTGTGTGAGTGAGAGAGAGAGAGAGAGAGAGAGAGAGAGAGAGAGAGAGAGAGAGAGAGAAAGAAAGAAAGAAAGAAAGAAAGAAAGAAAGGAAGAATATGTAATCATGTGTGCCTGTGTAGGCCGGAGGACAGACTTGCAGACATCAGTTCTCCTTCAACCCTAGGGACGCAGGTTTGGAACTCAGGTCCTCAGGCTTGGTGACAGGCACCGAGCCACCTCACTATCCCTCCTCAATTTTTCGTTTTTCTAGAGTTATCAGTTTCTTTTTCTCGTCTGCCTAGTTTTACCTTTTTGGCTTTTCTGTTTGTGGAGCTGGGAATGACTCCAGAACCTTGCACACACTGGATCTAGCCTCCCTGCTAGAGTGGTCCTGCCCCTCAACTTCCACATAAGCGCCAGCCTCCCCCACCTCCGGCACCTAACTTTAGACGTGGCTCGCTTCCACCACACTGCGGCTGGATTCCACCCCCAGCCCCAGCCCTCCCTACCCATAACCCCACCCGACGCCCCTGCACCTTGGCGAAGCGCCGCATGTAGTGGCCCACGATCTGGGGGTCGGGACACTCTAGCTTTTTGATGATCTCGAAGCTCTGGTTGAGCTGGGAGAAGACGTCCACCACAGAGCAGGAGAACAGGGCGTGCTCCGACGTCTGCTGGAACTGCAGGAACAGGACACCGGGACGGCCGCATCAGCTCTGGGGTGGCCCGGGCCACGGGAGGGTGGCCCAGGCCACGGGAGGGTGGCGGCCTTGGGCTGGAGGACGGCCCCACATCCCACAGCTGCTAAGTGCACAGAGGAGGCCACCCACGAGCAGGACACACACAGTGGACACCGTCGACCTCTGACCTCCACCCAGCGCCTCCTCACCCCATCCTTCTTGTCGCGCTCCAATGCGCCATGCAGGAAATCCCGGGACACCTCCTCATTCTCATCCAACCACTGGATGACAAAGGGTTCAAACCACCTGTAGGGGGACAGATCAGCCGTGACACCCATCAGGGACACTGAGTGCCAGCCCCGCCCTACCCACTGGCTGCTGGGTCTGCTTCTGAAGTGTTAATGGGGTGCAGGCTTTAATCCCAGCTCTGGGAAGTGGTGAACTGGGTTCTGTTCCCAGCTTCCACCCCTTTACTGGGTTTCAGCCACTTCAGTTTGGTTAAAGTTTCTTTTTTCTTTCTTTCTTTCTTTTCTTTCTTTCTTTCTTTCTTTCTTTCTTTCTTTCTTTCTTTCTTTCTTTCTTTCTTTTTTTTGTCTTTTTTTCGAGACAGGGTTTCTCTGTGTAGCTTTGCGCCTTTCCTGGAACTCGCTTTGTAGACCAGGCTGGCCTCGAACTCACAGAGATCCGCCTGCCTCTGCCTCCCGAGTGCTGGGATTAAAGGCGTGCGCCACCACCGCCCAACTGGTTAAAGTTTCTTTAATATAGTTATTTAAATAGGGGGCTGATGTAGCCCAGGCTACCCTTAAACTCACTCTGTACCTGAGGATGACTCTGAAGAAGGAGGAGGAGGAGGAGGAGGAGGAGGAGGAGGAGGAGGAGGAGGAGGGAGCTTTCAACCTTTTCAGACTGAAAATACTTCAATCATGGCTAGTTGAAACACAGTGGTTTCCTTCTTGCCCTGACCCCTGAACCATGTGACGCAGCTGCTTTCCCAGTACCAATGGGGTGTCTGGTTCACAGTCTTGAGCATCAGGGAGTTGGGGTCTGTCACTCACAGGCCCTGGAATCCTCTTAGGTCTTGGTGACACCCTGGCGCAGGTGGGGACTTACGCGGGGTACTCGGGCACCCGGTCCTTGAAGGCGGGCAGCTCGGCCACATACTCATTGTACAGCCACTTGACCTTGAAGTGCAGGTTCATGTAGTCGGCGCTCTTGCACAGCCGATGTTTGTCATGCTCTGCCAGGGGGACAGGCTCAGTCAGGGGGCCGGGGGCTCCAGAGCTCCAGCAGCTGACATCTGGGCTCAGAGACTCACCCTCCATGGCGTACTTCATGTCTTGAGCAAACAGGCTCCACATCACCTCAGCACTGATCTTTCCCACATTCAGCTCCTGGGGAAACCTGGGAAAGAACATGGGAACCTGGGAAAGGGCATGGGGACCTGGGAAAGGGCGTGGGGACCTGGGAAAGGGCGTGGGGACCTGGGAAAGGGCGTGGGGACCTGGGAAAGGGCATGGGGACCTGGGAAAGAACATGGGAACCTGGGAAAGGGCATGGGGACCTGGGAAAGGGCGTGGGGACCTGGGAAAGGGCGTGGGGACCTGGGAAAGAACATGGGAACCTGGGAAAGGGCGTGGAGACCTGGGAAAGAGCATGGGGACCTGGGAAAGGGTGTGGGAAACTGTGAAAGGGCGTGGAGACCTGGGAAAGGGCATGAGGACCTGGAAAGGGTGTGGGGACCTAGGCAAGGGTGTGGAGACCTGGGAAAGAGCATGGGGACCTGGGAAAGGGCATGGGAACCTGGGAAAGGGCGTGGAGACCTGGGAAAGAGCATGGGGACCTGGGAAAGGGCGTGGAGACCTGGGAAAGGGCATGGGAATCTGGGAAAGGGCGTGGGAACCTGGGAAAGGGCGTGGAGACCTGGGAAAGAGCATGGGGACCTGGGAAAGAGCATGGGGACCTGGGAAAAGGCGTGGAGACCTGGGAAAGGGCATGGGGACCTGGGAAAGGGCATGGGGACCTGGGAAAGGGCGTGGGGACCTGGGAAAGGGTATAAAAACCTGGAGCTTGGATAGGGTGGGGACACTTGGACCTTCCTGCTGCAGGTCAGAGGGTCTGAAGACCAGGCTCATCTCTCAGTCCCCCCCACCAATGCATCGCCTGCCTCTTACTCACATTAATCAAATACTCATTGAGTCAGCCATCTATCTTCCCACCCACTCACCTATCCGTTCACCCACTCACCTATCCGTCCACCCCACCCACTCACCTATCCGTCCATCCACTCACCTATCCGTCCACCCACTCACCTGTCCACCCACTCACCTGTCCGTCCGTCCACTCACCTATCCGTCCACCCACTCACCTATCCGTCCACCCACTCACCTGTCCGTCCACCCACTCACCTGTCCGTCCGTCTACTCACCTATCCGTCCACCCACTCACCTATCCGTCCACCCACTCACCTATCCGTCCACCCACTCACCTATCCGTCCATCCACTCACCTATCTGTCCACCCACTCACCTATCCGTCCACCCACTCACCTATCCGTCCATCCACTCCCCACCCCACTCCACTGCTCACTTATAAGGAGTAGATTCGATGGCTCCTTTAGCTATTTGATAAATATCTCACACAGAGGTCAGGCCGTAACAAGCTGTGCCCACATTCCCACACTGCTCGGTGCTCTACACTGCACACGGTGCTGCTTGGTGGCCAAGGCCACCCTCAGACTCAAACTCAGCTCCTCCTCCTGCCTGTCTCATGAGTAGCTGGACCACCGGTGTCTGCCCAGAGAAGAGCTGCAACATTCTATATTAGAGCTCGTCTCTGGGCCAGTGGGAGAGCTCCATGGGTGAAGGGGCTTGCCACTGAGCCTGAAGACCTGGGTTCAGTCCCCAGAATCGCCTTGGTGGAGGGAGAGGCCACAAGTGCCTGTGACTATGACACACACACAGGACCCAGGTTGATTCCTGATGCCCACATGACAGCTCACAGCCATCTGTAACTCCTGTTCCAGGACATCTAGTGCCCTCTTCTGGCCTCCCCAGGTACCAGGCACAAGCGTGGTTCACAGACACACAAGCAGGCACACCACCAAACTCATATAAAGACAATATTTTAAAAAATAAAGTAAAATTTAAGAAAAATTTTTTTGATTTTTCGAGACAGGGTTTCACTGTATAACAGCCCTGGCTGACCTGGAACTAGCTATGTAGACCAGGCAGGCCTCAAACTCACAAAGACCCACCTGCCTCTGCCTCCTGAGTGCTGGGATTAAAGGCGTGCCCAAAATAAAACTTTATATATATATATATTTTTTTTACTTTTTGTTTTGTTTTGTTTTGTTTTGGTGCATTGGTGTTTTTGTCTCCATGTCTGTCTGTGTGAGGGTGTCAGTTCTTGGAGTTACAGACAGTTGTGAGCTGCCATGTGGGTGCTGGGAATTGAACCCAGGTCCTCTGGAAGAGCTCTTAACCAACGAGCTATCTCTCCAGGCCCCCCAAAATAAATTTAAAAAACATTGAAGTTCACACCTCAGTTGTGGACACACACACAATTAAGCTGGTGTAATCAGACTCTAAATTCCATAGGTGGACCTGCAGCTCAGGCCTGTCCTCCCGGCTCCTTGGGAGACCCAGGCAGGGAGATCTCAATTTAGGGGCCAACCTGGGGCTACAGAGTGAGTGTGAGGTCAGCTTTATGGAGACCTTACCTCAAAATAAAATGTAAAAAGAAAGTCAGCACACAGGGCCTCTCACACACACATTTGGAGCTGTCAGAATGGGTCAGTCTGTGACCCAGCCCCAGCCATGCTGAAGCCCCGCGCATGGCCTAGGCTGGCGCTCACTGGTTCAAGCACGGCGTGTAGGAATTCTTATCCTCCTCGATGATGGACACAATGAGTGTGATCAGCTTGGACCAGAAGTCCAGGTTCTTGATGCTGGGGCCCTGCTCCTCGGGGGGGACCTCCCCCTTCTTGGCCTGAAAGGGGCAGAGGAGACATTGCTTAGAGGCTGGTGTGGGCGGAGTGAGGGAGCCATGGCAGAGCCCTGCCTCATGCTTCAAAGAAAACAGTCAACAGATGTTGGCAGGGCACATGCTGGACGCAGAGGCTGTGGTCATCACCCTCCGCTAGACTCTGACGCCAACCTGGGCTACAAGTGATGAGACCCTCACGGCAAACAAACAATCGAAA